TAGCGCAAGCACAGCATACCCAGAGAACCAGAATAGTTGTTCTGGTACCAGATTCCTGCATACATGAAATATGTTATGCTCATCGTTAAGTTTTATAAAATCTAACAACTAATACAAAACTGTGAGGACATGGCGATCCATTGCTGAAGGATCTGCCAGAAACCCAACATGGAGGTGAGGGCGAATTTTACTGTTTACCATTATGCTAATGAGGCATATTCAACATACATACATATATACTGTAGCCCCCAAGCAATGATCCCCTTTCAGAAGCACAATTTCCAAGGTTGACAATTTTCGTTAACAATCACACTGAAGTGAGGATAATTTGCCCGAGTTGTAGTTAACCAGCTAATTTGGTGAAATATAACCACTTAACATGAAAGTAAAATAATCATACAAAGTAACTCAAAAGTGCCGAAACGTAACTTACCACATGAACATAGAATTTTTTTCTGGGTTACATGTTCTTTCTATTCTTGAAGATAAAAAGAATATGTAATCCAGAAAAATCTCTGTTCATCAAATAGCATCTTCTAAAATGCCAATCAAGCATGTAATTTACCACATTTATTCAAACTCTAACAATGCTACTTATGTAGACACATATGATACTTATGATGTGAGCTGCGATTATTATACTAAAGAGGATAATTCAGATTCCGTAGCTTGGCTAATTAATCAATGAATACCCAGCGTCAAGCACCTGAGAGACTGGCAGCAATACTAATGTATTCACAAATCAGCCAATCAAATTGCTGCAAACTCTCAGTCAAGGTCACATTACTGAAGTCTGTTTTGGACAACGAAGCGATGCGTGTCAAAACTGCATCAAAATCAGCATTATAACATACTGGACAAGATCAAGAATCTGGATCGGTAAAGCAGATTGTACTTTTTATCCATGAGACTATGCGATGTGTTGTTTTAATCATGCGTAAAGTCAAATATGAAGGTTTTCATAACGGGGTTAGGCTCCGCTTCACTAAAAATGGCCGCCATGTCAGATAATTTGCCTGTGACTCGCGCAAACAGAAACGTATAATGTCGAACTGGAAGAGATAAAAGGACTTGTGGCATCTGGAAATTGTGTAAACCGATGGGATGTACCGCGTATTTTGCAAATGAAACCATGACAATGTCCAAAACGAATTAAAAAGCCAGTTTTCAGTCGCTAAACTTAAGGAATCGTGACTTATCTGATACGAAGTATAGAATGGTCGGGAAGCTTTCGAAACCGCTGACCCAGATTGAGACGTTTTTGTAACGGGACATCACAGCTAATTTGATAATGTTTCCACTCAACACATTTATAGGAAATGTCCTTTCCTATTGTAAAAATACTTTGTATTATTATTTAGAGACGTTTACATCGATATAATGTATTAAGGTTTTTTATCAGATAGATACACCTCTAAAAAGATTTTGAAGAAAGTAATCCAGGAAAAGTTTAGCTCAATATATTGAATTATTTATTGTTAACCAAGAAATAAAAAAGTTTTGTGTTACATTTTGAGTCCGTTCTTAATTGATTATATCTGAACATCGTTTACAGATGTAGTAAAGTTGATGTTATTTAAGTCTATTGAAATTTAAAGAACTTGAAATGTATTAATTTATTTATGTTATGTACAGATCGATATGTAATAGAATAATTTGTTTCTAAATTAGGGTATTTATTATCATATTTACACTGGGTTTGCAAAAGATAAACAGGAATAGGACAATGTGACAGTTTCATGAACTTTTTATTAGACAGTGTCATATCCAAATGTGAAAAAGATGTTTAGCAATATTTGGATAACAAATAATCTGAATATTTCTTTGAAAATGCAATATATTATCCTTTGTGAATAACTTTACATTGTTCAACATGAGTGTTGGTTAAACTTATGCTTAGTCTCTGAATATATATAATTTTGATTGAAACCAAAAAATCCTTTTAAATTGAAAAGGAGCCACAGTGAGAAGGGAGATCAGATTGCTGAACCTGAGGAAATCTAGACTTACTTCATTTACTGGCTAGCTTAACAGTTACTACCATAGTTTAGTTTCTACCATATTTAGGTATTTACAAAATTACTCCGCCTGCCTCGATAAATTAATGAAACAGAATAAATTATGATACTTAATTAGTTATTCACCGATGTGTCCAGCCCGATCATGTTTATATATAACGCGGCAGAAAGGAATCATGGCAGTAGAAATAGATCTTCTCTCACAACTAACTAACAGTTATCAGCATTCAGAATTTCTCATGCCATTCGTGAAATAATAATTAAATTAAAACATACAGTAACCTCGAATAATTGATTGTATGACTATTTGAGTGTTTCTTTTACAGTATATTGATAGGGAATGAAACAATTAATGACTTGTGAACTTGAACTTGCTTTTTCTCTTATGTTACTTGTCCACCCGGAGAGCGGAAGGTCGCGGGTCCCCGACCGCGTCATACCAAAAGACATTGAAATATGGTGCTTGTTGGTCCCTGCCTGGCTCTTGGCATTAATGGGTACAACAAGGACTGGTCGGCTCGGAGTCAGTATAATGTGTCTGAGTGGGGTATTCATGCTTCACTGCGGCATGGTATCTCAGTGGGCTAGCACTATAAAACCAGCTTAAGTCTGGGCTAGTACAAGCAGCCGCACATACACATACACACGCATGCACGTCGCATATGAGCGGAGTATTCTCAGGCACGACGTTAAACCCAGTTTCACCTCACCTCACCTCTTATGTTACTTACTGTGAAAAATTTTCTTTTGCTGTTCTTTATTGTTGTTAAATACTGTGGGAAAAAATACTGGAATTGTAATTGACTGGAACTGTGCAAGTGTGATAGTGATGAAGTTCCTACCTATGCAATATAGCAAATGTTGTCACTTTATGCAGCGACTTCATGACATTACTCAGGGCTCCAGATAATTTTTCATGATCAGGAATACGTACTCCTTATTTTTTCTATATAGGAGTCCTGGAAAACAATAACAGTACATTTAGAGTACTGAATGGAATTTAATGGCGGATCAGTAATCTTGTGTTTTAGCTTTATGCACCACAACATTGCTACTTTTGTGTAAACAGGTCAATAAACAATAAAACAATACTTTTCAGATAAATACGCCTGTAAATGATTCTAAGACCGTACATCATTGCTGTGGTGCATATCTGCTACGTTTTCTAAATTATTTCCTACCGTATCGTGCATATTGTATATCCGTATATACGCCGATACGGCTGTTATCTGGAGCCCTGATTAGCATTTGTGTTGTGTTCTGTGTGGAGGGAGTGGGTAGTTTAGTGGTTAAAGTGTTAATTTGACATGCAGGAGGCCTGGGTTTGATTCCCTACACATGGTAAAATGTTCTGGTCTTGAAGGAATATTGATTAGAACAGTTTGAAAACGTACTCACTATATTAGGATTCCTTTATTAATCAGTTTCTGTATACATATAGCCTGTTTTTAGCCAACAAACTGCTTTGTTAGTGTTTGAATCCTATACACTTCTTAGCCCGTAGCCGAACAGAACACATGAAGTATTTTCAGTGTTTACTACAGAAGTGGAGGTTACATGTTGGGGTCCCCAAGGGATGCAACTCTAATCGGCTTGCTGCTACTGTCAAATAAGTCTGCAGGAGTTGTCTCCCATATATGTACATAACATACATGTCCATATACTACAGTCAGCTCTTTTTACAAATTTCACAACTGTGCAATTGTGGGATTAGTTTTCATTATTTAATACTGTGTCACAGTCTAAGGGTTAACACAGAATGGAAACATTATGATTTATAAGAGATTCTTGATGGGTTTTGTTGTAACCATGGTAACCGGCCTAATAATTGCAATAAATTACTTTCTGTTTCTACACCAATCAAAGACATAATGTGTACGAGAAGTGGCCTACCGTACACTGTTAACAAAATATTATTGAATGAAAATTGTATCTTCTCGAGCAAGTTATATTTTATAAAGTTGGTTGACATGTCTTCTTCAGGCAATAAAAAACCTAGTTCCTGATTTGATTTAAAATGTTTTGCAGTACTGTACAATGAAAGTAACTCTACTACATAGTGGGTGGCCTAGTGGTTAAAGCATTCACTCATCATGACGAAGACCCGAATTTGATTCCCCACTTGTGAGGCCCATTTCTGATGTCTCCGCTGTGATATTGCTGGAATATTGCTAAAAGTGGCATCAAACTCATTCATTTGCAGAAATAGTCAGTCACTCACTCACTCTGTTTCTGTTGGTTTCCATGGGCTGTTTTATGTTGCAGGGTGTCAGTACAAGACTGGTAGGAATGGATGACTACCCAGGTGACGGTCAGGACCACGGGGTCAACGATGTGTCATCCGCCGACCTTCAGAGTACCATCCCCGACATCGGGATGACCCATCCCTCCCAGCTGGTCGCTTGGTCTCAAGCCCATGCCGCAGAAGATGGGCAGTATGGAGGGTTCGTTACCAACACAGGATCACAAGCGGTGTATGAAGCTCAGGTCACTGATATTGTCCAGCAAGCATACCTACAGTCTGCTCTTGTTCAGACAGATCCTGGAACAGATAAATTTACATATTCCGCTTGAATCCGGTCTGGATAAGAGCTGTGAAGACCCTGGAGGCTTTTCTCGATCCATTGACACTGACAGAAGGAACTATGAGCTGCTTAGAAGTAAAGGTTTGGAGATTGTACACACTGTCGCTCTAGATGAGGAGATGGCTAAGTCTCTTCCACAACAAACTCTTCATCAACATCAAGCAGAGACTGCTTATAGACATCTTCCAAAAGTATCAGTGACAGCTTACCGCCGAAAAGTAACACTCACTCAATGAGTCAAGACACTGCTAAAGATGTTCCCCTGCCACCCAAAACAGAAATGACGGAGTATGGCCGGTGATGCTGAAGCACCAGCAGACTCAGTACAGCTCCCACAACATGGCCAACACAGTCATGATGTCCCCGCTTCACCTGTGTGGAGGACACCCAGATGAAGATGGTTGTCAACGCTCCTGCCAAGAAGATAGCTGAGAAGGCGAAGACAACACAGCGACCAGTGAGAATCAATCCTGCAGAGGAGGTGGAACTGTATGACCAGGAGTGGGGCGATCAGACGCGGCTGTTGTTGTTCAACTTGATGACTGAGCACAAGTTGTGTGATGCTTCAATCTCTACTGGCAAGTTCACTATCAAGGTAAAACTTCAATAGAATCACTCTTCAGTAATGTTTTCATCCAATCATGATGATTGAACTACACACCCGTGAAGATCCAGCTTAGAATTGATCTGCAATAACCCATGCTTGTCTTGAGGCGACTAACAATATCAGGTGGTCAGGCTCACTGATTTTATTGTAAATCTGCCCTAAAAGACCCCCCAAACCCCGTCTTTTTTCTGCTTTGCTGTTCTCATGTCAGTAGTGAATATGATGACATTTGAAAAATATGTATTTTAAACCATGGACCTCTGACCCATGCAACATTGCTATATTTTTCTGTACTATATCTTTGCAACCTGCCACATGAAATAACAGACAGCTATTATAACGTTTAGTCTTGTGTAGATCTTGGTTACAATTGACCAGCAACCTACCTGCAACTGATGAGATCAGGTGGTCAGGCCTGTTAACTTAGCCGAGGCATATCAATCACTGGATTGTCTGGTCCAGACACAATTGTTTACAGACTGTCATATATCTTGAGTGTGGTGTAGAACAATAAACAAAACATACTTTCACTATTGTCAAATGACGAATAACTGCAGTCGTATTCCCTCATAATGAAGACTGACTGTAAGCCATTATGCCTGTTTTCAGCTGCACAAGCTGGTGCTTGCCATGTCGAGTGAGCGGTTTGCCAGCCTCCTCTCGGAAGGTGTCGACTCTAGGTTTGCAAGCATCATCGTCCCGGTGCACATATCTGAATCTACCCTGAAAGTGTTTGTGACATTCCTGTACCTTGGCATAGTCAAAGTTAACCTTGGATTAGTCAAGGAGATAAAAGTGTTATCCAAAATATTTGAAATCCATAATCTGGAACATCTATGCTATGGTATCATGATTAAGCACAATATGTCCACAAATGTTGGAAGCTGGCCAAAGCTGAAGGTGTCCTTTGAAAATGCAAATAAGAATTCTAAGAAGGATCAAAATGTGGGGACAGAAGAGAGTTACTTCAAGGCAATGTCTGAGATTGCTAAATTGCCTTTACAAAGCCCCAAAAGGGTCCCACCCAAGCGTGGTCAAAAGAAAAAACTGACAGGAACCATCTCAAAAACTGTGGGGCATAGATATGGCACCAGAGGAGCAACTGCCCCGAAGGTTGTTGAGGATGTGTGGGAAGATGATGATGATGATGATGATAATGATGCTGCTACTGATGACGATGAGGAGGAGGAAGTTGTTGGACCGGTTGTTAAGGCAGGACCAAAAGGCAGATTTCAGGCAAGAAACGCTGCCAAGAAAGAGGCTATCAGAAAAGGCAAAGTTGGACACAAGGTTGAGAAATCTATAAGTTTTAATGATGTGAAACCTGGTTACACTGCTACAAAGTGGAAACAACCTTTGGGTGCTTCAGACATATTGCTGGAGATGTCTGAGGCAGGTGATAACTTGGGTCTAGACATGGACTCCATGGACAGAGGGGCAGCAGAGGAGACTCCTGTTCCAACTCTTCAGGGCAGGAAACAGAAGTTGCTTCAGTCGGTTGAGCTGGTCAACAAGGACGTCAGTAACACTGTGCCTGTTACTATGGAGACAAGTATGCGAGATTCGACAATAATTGTCACACCAAGTATGCCTGAAATACTTACGAATAATGTCAGTGAAACAACTGAGGGGATCCAAGCATGTGCCAATATGACAGTGCCTCAGCCTATCCTGGATGAGGTAGCAGGAAAGCCAGACAATGCATCGGATGCTTTGACGGGGATGAAGAAAGGCAAGAAAGGAAGGGCAAGGTAAGAACTGCTAGGAAATAGTGGACAATCACCAGTCATTTATTAAGAATGAGGGAGGATTTTGATGTACTGACAATAATGTCCCTCTCCTAATGCTTGTCATATTTTTGGCTGACTCTCCCTATGTTATTGTCCCCTACAGCACAGAATGGGGGATTATGTATTCAGCAGCGCCCATACATACTAGGGCTTCCACGGGTACTCGAGTACTCGAGGACGAGTCGGGTTTAGCTGGACTCGAGTCCATTTTCAAGGACTCGAGGACTTGAAAAGGGGAGATAACTCGAATTATTGACGTTGACAGACTGTCTGCCATGTGCTAAGCATGAGCGGCCGTTAACGTCTAATATTAAGATAAGATGTAACTTGATTATCCCGGAGGATATTCTTATACATCCAACTGTCTCAAAGTGAATATATACACAGTTCACAAAAATATACACAATAATTACATGCAGAAAACGAATGCTATTTACACAATAAAACTGACATGATATAATTCAATTAACCACATAGGTAAAGAGGCTGAATAATTCTAGTTGTAATCACGCTTGATGGTGATTCAAAATATTGTTGCATTCACTAATACTTGATGGTATGAAAGACTGTCGAACTCTGTTTTGAGGGAAGGTAATTGACAGCAGCGTCCAGAAGGAAGTAGTTCAAAATGGTGAGATCAAATATGTCAACTATCAAATCTAATTTTTGTTGCCTTTGTGACAATCTGGCGCTCATAGATAAAGGGAATATACTTAAAAGACACCCCAGAAATTTTGCAAGCAGTTTTAACAATTTTGAAAAGCTTGTTTTTGTTGCAATGAGACAGACTCCCATACCAACATAGAAAATTGTAGGTCAACACACTTTGAATAGAGGTTTGATAAAAAACTGTCATTACGGTTTTGTCAATGCCTTGACAATAATAATCTTCAGAATCGGAAATTAGGCCAGTAACAGTGGCGTCTTCTGCGAATTTCACAGTAAACACGTCATATATTGACAAGTAACAGTCATTGGTATACAAAACGAAGAGTACGGATGAAGGAACACAGCCATTTGGTTCTGCAGTAGAGGTTGAGAGAAAAGAAGATTGATAGCCTTTACACTGACATACTGAGTTCTATGTACCCATCTGATAATGTTTTTATTAAGACCTATATTAAATAGTTTACTCCTCATAAGGTGTGGCTGTATGGTATTAGTTGTTACAATTCTCTGCAGATGAGAGTAAATATTATACATCGTTTGAAATTTCACTTCTTAAAATGATAAGGTAACTATCTTGACAATTGATAGACATGGCGAAAGATAAAAAATCAAATGTGTGGGCGTATCTTGATCTGGATAGAGAAAAGAGAAAAATAACCAAATGCTGCCTGTGCGGTATATCACTGCGCTTTTGCAGGCAGTACAAGCGTGAGTGAGTGAGTTTGGTTTTACGCTTTTTAGCAATATTCCAGCAATATCACGGCTGGGGACACCAGAAATGGGCTTCACACATTGCACCCATGTGGGGAATCGAACCCGGGTCTTCAGCGTGTCGAGCGGACGCTTTAACCATTAGGCTACTCCACCGCCCCTGGCAGTACAAGAAGTACGATGAAAAAAACAAGTGTCAAGTAAACATCCAAATACTGATTCTGACCAGTGGGAAATGTTAGTCACATAACGATATGAAGTCGGAATGAAGTAAGTAGTCACTTGTGTGATCAGAACACATGTCATGCAAGTTACGCTATTGTTTGCTTGAAAGGTATGAATTTCGAGTACTCGGGTCCGAGTCGAGTCTCACCCCTCGAGTACTCGAGTCCAAGAAAATGGACTCGTTGAAGCCCTAATACATACGTCCCGATTCTTGTTAATGCGATATCTCATTAACTGTTGAACCCAATGTCTTTAAATTTGGTGACAGCCCACATTGGGGGGGATTACACAGACACGGGTCGATTTGGGTGGCCTTGACCTTATCTTCAAGGTCTCTACAACACTTTGACCACTTTTCAAACTCGATATCTCATAAAACTTTGCACCCAATGTCTTCAATTATGTCGAAGTAATTGGGGGATGAGGCATACACCAGTCATTTCAAGGTGACCTTAACCTTATTTTCAAGGTCACATGACACTTTCAAAATCTTGTTAATGCAATAACTACAGCACAGGTAATTTTATGTGTGACCAAAAGATAAATACTAGTATATATTAGGGGTGTCGCGATACGCGAATGTATCGATGCATCGATACATTTTTACTGACGATACGATACGCGATACATGCTTACGTGTATCGATTCCTATTTTAAAACTTTATCGATTCAAATTTTTATGCTATATCCATCTCCTTCAAAGTCTTGATAGTAAAATTATACGAGACCGCTCCGATAAATAGATGTAGCTAGCTTTACTTAAAAAATAGGTTGGAAACTAACAGCTTTTGTGATTGGCTAGACTATTTTGATGGACCAATCAGCGAGCCCGACGTTGCCGGCAAGGTAATGCTATGAAAAGGCGCGAAAATTATGTATCGCGATACACGATCGTGATCGCGGACCTTAAAATCGTGATACGTATCGTATCGTGAGATTGGTGTATCGTGACACCCCTAGTATATATGTTACATTTCATTCTTCTTTAGCAGGGGGACTTTGCCATGTTAAAACACTAGTCTTCTTGTTCATTCTTTTCATGACCGATTCCCCAAAGCACTTAATGTTTTATCGTAAAATGTCACCAAATATGTTATTCTTTTTTTATGACCCTTCATTAGAGCCTGTCCTGCTGTCAGTCCTCCATTGATTAATTAGGCCAAATGAATTATTTTTTTTATGCCCAAGCCAGTTGCCTGTGAATAACTGACTGCAGCAAACAGTGTTTGATCCAAAAGCAGCAATCCCCGCCATTGTACCCCATTGTAACAGGATTAACTGAATTAGTGTGTTTATGTAATAATCAACTGGTGTAGTTACTCAACTTTTGCAATAAATCTTTCAGAAAGAGGACTGTGGAGGATTCAATTTCTGTACTGCTGTTTGATGAGTAATTTACCTCGCTTCAGTGGACTGTTATGGTATATTTCATGTGCAGCCTCATGAGTTGAGTTATGTGAAACAGTCATTGTCACATCACTCAGTCAGTTTGTGGTGCAGTTGCTAATCCAGTGAACCAGGATCTGGTTCCCGTGAGTCTGAATAAAGGGAGTTATGAAAGCGATGAGAACACAGTTTACCTTTCATAAACAGAAATCGTTCTTTCATTTGTACATGTCCCCAAACCAAGTGGTATATGCTCCACTCATATCATGCTTCAGTATTACTTAAGACTAAAATTTGTACAAAGTATATACTGACTGACTGACTGAGTTTGGTTTTATGCCGCTTTAAGCAATATTCCAGCAACATCATGGCGGGGGACACGAGAAATGGGCTTCACACATTGTACCCATGTGGGGATTCGAACCCGGGGTTTCGGCGTGACGAGCAAACGCTTTAACCACTAGGCTACCCCACCGCCCCCAAAGTTCATACATTGGGTAGGACTTATTTGGCTTGGAGTCATTCATGGCATGTTCTCATGGGCTGACTAATATTAGATACACCTCTCAACAATGTCATGTGTATACAGGTGGGGTTGATGAAGGTGCTCAGTAGATGACTACGATGACCTTGAAGAAGTAACATTGCTGAAAATTGATCATTACCTGTTTGTATTTACAGAAAATTGCCTCTTCCTACCCACGTGGCTGTGAGACCTCCTCCAAAGAAGAGAGCAAAGATGGAGTTGAATCGATTGACGAGAGAGAATGACAAGGATGATGATTATGATCTGCCAATGATCTTCCTCAGCCCGAGCCCGAGTCCAGCCAAAGAGCTTGAGAAGCCAGCAGCACCAAGGATCACAAAGCCTAGGCCCAAGAAGAGGAAAAGATGGCCCAAAGCAGACATCACTAGCCAGCTTGCTAGTGAACTTGAGAGAATGGCAGAACACATTGAGGAAGGTGAACGACAGTACAAGTGTGAGCTTTGTGGCAATGAGTTTGTGTTTCCAAAACGGAGTGTGACTCATCTTGTGAACACCCACGAAGTTACAGCTGATGAGGTGATTAAGAATGTTGTGATAAGGAGAAGGGAAGCAAGTCCAAAAGTTTGTGATATCTGTGGCTACAAGACTAAAGATCCCAACTTCTACTACATCCATTACCACAAGTATTTCCGACATGGCGTGCCACTTCCACAAGGATGGAAACCGTTTACTTGTGACATCTGTGGCAAGGAGTGCTTCACCAAGTTTCAGTTGAAGGACCATAAGCTTATCCACCAGGAAGAGACTCCGTTTGTGTGTGAAGTTTGTGGGCAGGGATTCAAAAGCAGGACCTGTCTCAACAGCCATGTTTTCCACAGACACAGTGATGAAAGAAAACATTCATGTTCTGAGTGCAACAAAACTTTCAAGACAAAAACACAGCGACTTGTTCATATGAGGACTCACACAGGAGAGAAGCCATTCAGCTGCCCTGACTGTCCGTACAAGAGTACCACACGAGGAAACATGAGGCTGCATCTTTGTAACAAACATAAGTATGACCCTGAACGTATCAAGGCTCTTATGTCCCAGTTGAAGACTCTAGAACCTGGGTTTGATGCCCCTAAGATGTATCTTGAAACTGGTAGTCTGGATCAGTCTGGTATGACACATCCAGCATCAGACACTTCTGGGATAGCAGACACTTCGCTAACTGTGACCGACGCCACCTTGCCCACGGCTGAAGTTCCATTGACTCTGACAGCCACTGCAGCTCTGGACAGAGCAGTCAATGTCATTGCAGCAGAACATGCCATGCATGCCATCCTGCTGCCTCTGTCTACGACAGACTCCACAACATCTCAAAGCATCACAACCTATACGGTGGAGTCCACCATCCCTCTCACTACCATTACCACTGAGGCCCAAGTCCCTGACCAGCCTCCCTCATCCAGTCCCACACTCAGCCCTCAGAGACAGCACACCATGGCCACCAATGCCAGTCATTTCTACATGCAGCATTCTCCCATCAGCCCTCCTCCTCCCTCTGACTCCCCCCACACCCCTTACCCGGTTGTCACCAGCTTGCAGCAGGCTGTGTCGCCTCTCAACCTCCAGGCGGCACAAGTAGTAACGACATTGACCCCAGCATCTGTTCCTCAAGTCACGACCCCAGACCCCACCCAGACATATGAGACGGTGACTTCAGTAGGCAATAACCAGCAGCCATATGATGCAGCTATGATTCAGGCGATATTATCAGCAACAGCAGCAGTTTTATCCCCATGGTTATAACTAGGTGATAAAACACCTGCCTTATGACAGTGAAGAGTTGTCTCCCTCTGTTAAGTACTGGACCCCGGGTCACATACACTGTGATGCAGCTATGATCCAGACATGTTGTCAGCAACAACAGCAGTTTATATCCCATGGTTATAACTTAGTGTTAAAACACGATGAGACTCCGCCACAGTGGAGAGTTGTCTCCTTGTTAAGGTACTGGGCCCTGTACCACATGGTGATATTCATCATCTTTAATGCTTCAAGGTCCACTTCTGGTTATGTCCATTTTCATAAAAAAGGCTATCCAGGTTCAAACATGATATTAGTGCTGCTTCTTTTGTAAGCCAGTGTTATAATATAGAAGTTACGCACATCATAAACCTATCATGTCTATGTGGAACAGCCCAGGGCTCCACTGAAGTATTCTTATCGATGAAGCTTGTAAATCGCAATATTTTGTGATAAGCACAATGCATGTATGTTTAATGAAAATGAAATTGCATTGTAAGAAAATGAATTGTAAAATGACACTGTTTAATGACTGTTTACAGCATTTTAAGTATCATTACTCTAATCTAATCTAGATGTGTATTATAAGGTGCCTAGAATCTTAAGGAACCCAGGACCTCCTTAATTTTAAACAGGAATGACATTATGTGCATTTACTATCAAGCATTAACTATTTCGAAATATGGTTTTGTTAGGCTGCTAGTCATCTCTTCTGTATGTTGATGAGGTTCCTTAGCCATGATAATAATCAAGGAATGCAATTTTCAGTCACATACCATGTTTCATGTTTCAACCTTACAATCATAGTAAACGTCGTACTGTGACAAAGTTCACAAGCAGCTCACAATGTTGGATAAAAAAAAAATGTATTGTTTCATACAAAACGAGATATTAGAGATCATGGAAAAGTGAGGGGATGCGGAAAGAAATATTGTACGATCACTACAAAAGATATATCCACCATAATGTTCATGACCCCAAACTTTTTTCAGTTTAGTTTCTGGTGGGTTGTTAGTGGAATGCAAGTTTTCCATTTGAAGATATCACCTGGAATTTTAGAGTCTAGAAAGGACAACTCAGTGTTGAATCGTAACCTCACCATGATAATCATCTTTATCCTGTTGGGCATTATAGTTGTGGAATGAAGTACTTCATTTACTTCTCTTGTACTATACTTTGATAACAATATGCAATAGTAATATAATGAGTGTATTTCTGTTCTGAAGATGTTATATATCTTGAAAATGTAATTAAATTCTTATCTGACATCAAACTTGTGAACTGCAAACTTAATGCCCTACAAGAATCTGTAAACATCCAGTCCCTTTTTGACCTAGGCGGCTGTGCTCACAAAAAATCTCCTTTAGACACCTTGGCAGCTGTGCTCACCAAATCTCCTTTAGACACCTAGGCAGCTGTTCTCACCAAATCTCCTTTAGACAACTAGGCAGCTGTGCTCACCAAATCTCCTTTAGGCAGCTGTGCCAACTGTCTCCTTGACATGCCTAGGCATCTGTGCCAAACTAGTGCCTATTAGAAGCTTGCATAGATGTTGTAGTCGAAGTATTCCTCCTCAAATAGGAGGACACATGTACCCCAAAGTTTTGTAAGTAGCTATTTATTTATTGATCACCATATTTGTTATTTGTTGTTCTGTTACCATGATTATGTCTAGAAACAGTTGTTTTGTTATTGTTGTGATGTGGTCTACTGGATGCCAGTGTTAATGTCGTCATTTGGAATGATTTTCTCGTAGATAAGTAGGTTGTCACATTTTGACAATTCAAGAATATGTTAAAGAATGATAAGTCACTGAATACAGCCTTCTCATGATACACCTATATCCTGTTATAGTATTGAGATATGTTCAGTTTGCATCCCTGAAATGTGTGCATCTATGAAATCCTTTTGTTTAGTCGGTTAACAGGTGTTTTTTCCCAAAAATAAATATTGGTTGTCAAAATAATAACAAAATTTGTAATAAAAAATGAAACAGTTATCATAAACCCAGATCTTGTTTGTTGACTTTATCATGTCTTTATTCTGCATTAAGACGACCTTGAGGACTCGTGTATTAGGGGCAGAAATGGGGATGATGTATCGCTCATCACAGCTAGAAAATCACCAGAAACTTTAATCTGTTCTCTTACTCAGGGGTATACAAACCTCTCATTTTGCCATTTTGGTTCCGGATGGCCCAGTGGTGGAAGAGGCTGAGAGCTGTATAGAGTTGTCTCCCTTACATATCGTGATATTAACATGGCATTTTGAGATTTGGGATAAATCTTGATCATGGAATAGTCAAATGATACCACCAAGAGAAATATATTCCCATGTTTATGTCAGTTTGTTTGTGAACTGATGTTGACTGCTATTTTGTCCTAAACATTCATGTTTACAACTTTTCTATGTACAGAATAAGAAATAGGAATTATGCTTTTGTCGTGAAATTGACAAAGACAGTAAAATATGTTGCATGTATTTGAAAATCCTTTTCAACCGAACTACAAATTCTTTAACAATTTCAAGAAGTTCCAAATGTGATAAATAGGATAAACAAGCATTGTATAGAACGACTGTAATCCTTGACATGTCATTCATGATTCTAAGATATACTTAGTTCTTGGGATGCTGTGGTGTATCAGTGATGCCTCAATCGTGTTTAATATGGGTAACACCTTTGAAATAGTATTTTATTATTTAATCAAATGACATTCTGACATAAATGGGATTTTATTTTCAATACAGAATTGTTATATTAGATATGATGACAAATGAATTGTAACACAAACACATTACTGTGTCATCAATTTCTGTCTTGTTTGTGTTTCTCATGTACAGAATTTATCATAGATACCTTTTATAATGGTTCAGATGAAGTATTTTATCATGGTTGTTTACATTGCAGTGAAATGATATGATTGATAAGCACAGCGACACTTGATGGGATCTTGTTAATCCCATCCTCCCTTGTCCGGGGTGTATATCTTCTTTCTCTTGTTGTACCTACCCTGGGTCTATTTGCCACCATAACATTGTTTTGAGTCTGGTTTGAATGATGAATGAAAGACTACTGGCTAGCGACCAGTTATCGCTGCGTAACAGTTATCGCCAACACCTGGGTGTAGCGCTTGCAGACAGCTTCACTTGTACTTCCGTAGTGTTTCACACATTGACACATCACAAAAGCGATAAGCTACGAGAGTTCAAATCAAGCTGTCTGCGTTGTGTTGGCGATAACTGGTCGCTAGCCAGTATGGTAATCAAATTCCACTTTTTGTTCATGATTGATGTACAACACTGAACATTATGTAACAACACTCAACTTGCAATGTTTTGCTATTACCACTTTGCATCCCTGTCTCAAAACTCATGAAAACAGGAGTGGCTGAGTAGTCATTCCCCAGCCATGCCAAAAGAATGGGTTCAATTGTCCACATTTGTAGCAATGTATGAAGCCCAGTTCTGGTGTCCCCTGCCACGATATAGTTGGAACGACCATGTTTATCACAAAATGATTTTATGGAACCTGTCCCCGTAATCCTGTATTTTATATGTGTAGGTTCTAAACTGGATGCATATATTTCCAGAATAACTGAGTGTGTGTTTAAAGGGACAAGTATTCTAAACAACCTTGCAATAAGATACTGGTATATGAAATATAGAAAGATATTGATTGGTTGTCATGTGATGGTTTCTGCTTGCATGATTATGGGTTTTAACTCTTATAGCTATATTACAGTTATGTTACTTTTTGGGACACCAATGCTTCTTACATGGTGCTCATATAGGGAATCAAACCCAGGCCAATGGCATGACAAATGAACAGTTTACCCTCAAGGCTATCCCTATGCTGCGAAAAGGTCATTCATCTTACCAGTTTGGTTGGGATCACTTTGAAGTTAGGATAAGTTGCTCATTTTCAAAATATATATAGCATGTTTAGATGTTAAGCAGCAAATTTAGATGTTAAAGAGTTAAACATCATCAGGTGTTTAACATCGTCATTTGTTAAATCACCTCACTTTACTTCGTCCATTGTCGTACATTAAGTCATTAGCATCTTCACTTTTCAGCTTTTTCTCCTGGAAAATAAAATTGTTGAGGCTGAACACTTGGTATCAGTGTTTGTACATTTTGGTGCCACAGTTCTTATTGGTCTTTCAGTAGACATAAAATGCTAGTTTTATTATTATCCGAATCATATCTGTATGTGTATGTTTGATAAGCAATAATGACTTGGTGCAATGTCATAATAAGTTGTAAGGAGGATGTTGTCAGCCATGTTGTTTATCTCATATGGAATTGAGGTAGAGATGGATCTTTACATTTGTGTGGAAGGTCCACAGATCATTTAGATGATAACTTCTTTGAGTGGCATTTAGAAGTTGGTGTTTTGAACAACCAGGAGGGTTCTATGGTTATACAACTTCTTTATTATTAATATGAGCGACGTTTTGGTGTAGCTACTAACACCATCATCAAGCAAGTGGTGAACAATATTGTAGACAAAGCTATATATACATGGTAGAATATTTATAAAAAATAAAGAATTTGTATATCCATAGACTGTCCCTGTTGTTCATTTAGATGATGTTTGTGTTTTTGCAAAACCATTTATTTACGTTTTGGCGGTGATTTGGCCTTAGGGAGACTCTGATTTATAGTCAGACTCAGATATGTGGCGAGACTCAAATCTTTAGATGATAGATAGTGAGACTCTGAAATGTGGTGAGATGGTTCTGTAGTGAGACTCAGATCTTTAATGAGACTCACATCTCACTATATAGTGAAGAGGGCTGCTGTATGAGTATCCCTCTCAAACAATATCTGCCCAAGTTGCTCAGATACTTAATGAAGAGACAGAATTGAGCAACAAAATAACTCAAGGAAAAAACTCATGATATTTCATCAAGAAGTCATAGCTGTTTGTCTTATTAGGATAGGATGTCCAAGTACAAACAAACTTGTTGCCATAGTTACTCTGGAGACCATTACAAGCTAGAAATGGCCTTGTATTACTTGTTTTCATACACTTAAGAAACATTCATTGTTATGCTTCTAAGAATTGGTTTTCAGGAACCCATGCTTGTCGTAAGAGGCGACTAATGGGAGCGTATGGTCAGACTCGCTGACTTGGTTGACACAAGCCTTCGTATCCCTTTTGTGTAGATCGATGCTCATGTTGTTGATCACTGGCTTGTCGAATCGAGACTTGATTATTTACAGACCACCGCCATATAGCTGGAATATTGTTGAGTTCCGCGTTAAACAACAAACCAACCAACCAAAATCTGAATGACATCCCCAGGTGTGTGTCATTCAGTCTTCCATTAACCATCTCCAAGGCAACGTTCACAATCAAGGTAAGCTACATACCATAGTGTTAGCTTTTGACCTGTTAGTCCAGTGTTTGGGATTTTTTTTCATGTTATTTCCAAGTATTCCCAATAGTATACCTGCATGTGAGACTATTGACTGCCAAATGAATTGTACATGAGTTGGGCAGTCACCAATTTTTTGCATGGAATGTTGACCTTGTTTATGTGATTTACAAATTAAATTCACTGCATTTATTCTGTGTCCTGTGTTTCATTGTCTGTGGCACAAGGTGAGATGTCAGTGTGATGTAGAGTCAACCTCTAACTGTCCATTTGGGCATTAAGTTCTGCTTAATTTTTATTGCACCACCTGATCCTTGTCGCCTTTTACGATTACCATGGGTTCCTGAACACCAGTTCTAACCAGGATCTACAGGGGGTTGGCCTTTTAGTATTGTAGTATGGTTTAGCCAGTACCTTCTCTTGGACACACCAGGAACCTGTCGTCATGGATTTGAATTGTTCATTGATTTGTCATCACCATTCTCTTCCTGGTAGGCTTCACCAAATTCTAAGACATGCATCACTTTGGTCTTTACTTGAACATGAAGGTGATTTATTCCCAGGATACCATTAAAAGTGGCAGTAAAACCAGCACACACATTCACTACTGAAATATTAAGGATCCCATTGGGTGGAGTCTGTCCCATCCAGATCCAGCAGATCCTGTTCAGGTAAAGGTATGTAATTCTGCACAGCAATTGTGAGGCTGGCAACAGTTGCCTTCCAGTGATTAGATGATAGTTTTGTGCACTATTTTGTCCATATTACAAAGCGGGAGATTCGGCTTGAAACAGTTTAGCAAATGTGGGGAACTGAACCCCAATCAGAAGTCTAATGTGCAATCACTTAAACAATTTAGCTACTCCAAAACTGCCAGTTCTTGTTTAGAAAACCCCCTAGCCCCAGGGGTATGGTATTTTAGTCAGTTGGGACATCCTGTATTCTGTACATGATGTCAAGGGGTTTCAAGGACTCGGCACAGTATTCAGGTTTCGAGATTTATGATAGCATATGATGGCTGGTTAGTTTGTTGTTTAACGCCGTTAATCCCTATTGTGTAGATCGATGCTCATGTTGTCGTAAGACTGACTGACTGACTGAGTTTGGTTTTACGCCGCTTTAAGCAATATTCCAGCAACATCACGGCGGGGGACACCAGAAATGGGCTTCACACATAGTACCCGTGTGGGGATTCGAACCCGGGTCTTCGGCGTGACGAACCAATGCTTTAACCACTAGGCTACCCCACCGCCCCGTTGTCGTAAGAGGCGACTAATGGGATTGTATGGTCAGACTTGGTTGACACACAACTTCGTATCCCTATTGTGTAGATCAATGCTCATGTTGTTGATCACTGGACTGTCGGATAGAGACTCGAATATTTACAGACCGCCGCCATATAGCTGGAATATTGCTGAGTGCAGCGTAAAACTAAACTCACTAACTCTTTGATGAAACGAGTCAGAAGAAGCTACAATTTAACTGTGATTTAACAGTGATTTCAAGAAACATATCGTCTAAGTACTTCAAGATATGTGATATTTTGTGTGACTTGATGGTAAGATGTGCATCATAAACCTATCCTTTGAATCTTTCAAATTTGTGTTTCATGGTCTATTCTACTTGGGTGAAAAGGTAACAATAGGTAGTTAAGTGACAGGTAAAAACAGGTGGCCTCACCAAACTTAACTGATTCTGGTACAAGCTGTCTGACAACTGGGCGAAAAGTGAGTTCGCAAAACTGTCTGCGCTGAAAGGTGTGCAGGCCGTCAGGTATAATTAAATGTGTCTTGTCTCTGTATTGGACATAACTCGTCATGAAAGTATAGTCATATTTCACAGGGTGCAAATTCAGGCTAACACCGGTAGAAGCAGTTACTCCCCTTTGTTTACATTTTTATCGTCTGCTACGCGATGCGTGCCCACGGCCGTGAAGTTGCCCCCGATCAGAAACAAGTAATTGTTTCTCTCTCTCAGCAAGGTAAACCTTGCTATAAGATTACCGAAACTATCGGCATTAACACTAGAACAACCAAGAATTTTTTAAAACGTTTTCGTGACACTGTCTCTAGTGAAAATCGATCGAGAAGCGGACTGCCGAAAAAATCATCACATCGAAGTGACAGGACTTGTTTCGTCTTGTGAAACGGAATCGGCGGAGTAATTTAAAGAACATTCCTGACATTTTAAATACACAAATTCCTCAAACAGTGTCTTCTAGAACTGTTCGAGGACAATCATTCGCCCAGGGTTATTAGCGAAGACAAGTTTCCAAGAACATTATCACCTGTGAACAGAGAGCGTCGACTTCGATTTTGCCGCACCAAACTGCAAACGGGTGAGAGATAATTGTGTTACTCAAGTACAAATCGGAAGGGATCAGAAGGTTTTTGTTTGAAGGAAGAGAAATGAGAGACTACTCCCCGAATGTTTAGGTGTTCGCACCGACCATGACAACCGGAATGTGATATCGGCGATGTGCTGGAGATGCATAGCAATTAGCATATCATGGTGTTGGAATAATCGCATTTATCGATGGAAACATGAACACAAATAAGTATAATGGCATTCTTGATGCAAACCTGTGGCCTGTCATAAGGGGCCGTTCATAATTTTTTTGGGGGAAGAGAGAGGAGGAGGGAATGATGATTTTATGCAGAAGCGTGTACAATGTAGATGACCCCCCTAAAATTAACGTACAAAGTAAGTAACCCCCCCTTTCATATCATGTATGAAATCAGTGACCCCCCTCCCCCTTCTCATAATTTTTAAACATATTTAAATATTTTATGTACAAAATTGTTGACCCTCCTACCACCGAGAACAAAAATGGGTGGAACCCCCGTCATCATTACCCCACCCCACCCCACCCCCAAGCCATAAATTATGAACGGTCCCTAACTAGACATTTCACAGAAGACCGTGGATGTTCCAAGATGACAACGCTAGCCATGTTTCGCTAATGGAGTGGAAAAATGACTATGGAACTCGTACTTTGCCATGGCCTGCTCAAAGCGCATACTTGAATGTGATAGATGATGTGTGGAAAACTCTGAAACATTCTCTGAAAAGACGAGTTCATGAAATCAGAAACCAAGTCGATCTGACTCGGAACGTCGGGGAGATTATCGATAGACGTGAGTACCATTTCAATCTACACAGAAGTTATATAGTGTGCTTAAAATCGTGCGCGAACTCACTTTTGGCCACTGACTGTATAATTTAAGCTATCTGACACCTGGCATAGGTGGATCTAAGGGTGGGGTGGGGATTGTTATGGGCCTCATTTTGATGTGTTTTGTAGATATACTTTTTTGTAAACAATAATGCAGACAACACCCCGATCCCCACCCCCCTATCCTGAATGGTTGGGGTTCACCCCCTTGTAAATAGATTAGCTGTTGAGGCTACTAGTATTTATCAGCTTAAATGTATTGGTCAGGTGTGAAATGCAGAGTTAGGGAATTGTCAGGATTTGTCATGGATCAATGAACCATTCAACACTATTAGTGCTTATTTGATATAGCTGCATTCGTGAATCCCTTTCCGTATTCTAAAAAGCCTTTAAAAAGTTGTTAATCAGTAACGGGGGTGGGTGGGGTGTGTGTTGAAGAAATAAAAGGGCAAGATACTTTATAGCTGAGAGCATATTTAAATTAATATTATTTATTATGATGCGCCGTTTCGGTATATAGATGCTTAAACCGTTGTCAAATACTCCGTAAGTGTAATTGGGCAATGTTTTGACTGTAATGCTCAGATCTAAAAATATATTGGCTTGACCTTTCTTGGAAGTTTGTTCCACTTTGATATAAGAAGATAATGGCAGTATACAAAAAAACACTAGACCGCACGATCACAACGGGCTTTTGAGAAATAGTTAACATTTATCAGCACTTATATAATACTGCGACGAAACAGTAGTAGTCTTTCTCCTACACATTGATAATAGATTAAAATGGAGTCGAAGGCCTACTCAAGTTTAGAATGATTTGGCAAGACTAGTTTGCATCAGTCCCTGGAATTTAGGTTTGCTATGGGCCCTATTTTTATGTGTTTTGTAGATACTAGTAAATATTTTTAATCATATTTTTAAATGTGATAACAATATTTCTGGGACTAAATGTCAATCTTACGAAACAAGACGACCAACCAAATGAAATGAGTAAATTCTAATGCAGCATCGGCACTATCTCAGCCTATAGCCACGAGACCACATTATACCACAATTAAAGCTTACACAAAGAGAACATGAAATTTGTTTGTTGTTTAACGACGTTCCCAGCAGTATTCTAGCTATAAATAATCGAGTCTGGATCAGACAATTTTATGATTGACATCATAATCATCGATCTTCGCAACCGGGATAGGATGGCACATGGTCTCTGGGACAAACACGGGTTACTGATGAAAAAATCTAACTCGGACCGGGAATGAATGAGTGAGTGAGTGAGTGAGTGAGTGAGTGAATGAATGAATGAATGAATGAATGAATGAATGAATGAATGAATGAATGAATGAATGAATGAATGAATGAATGAATGAATGAATGAATGAATGAAATTGTCTAAACATGTTCATATTTACGACAATTCTTTACCAAGGCGATCGCTTCAGGAATGCAAGGTGATTGTAAATTCAAGAAAAATATGCTTCCCTTTCATGACAGTGCATTCAGTAGATGTGTCCTTAAAAGCGGATATGCTTACAACAACTATGACCAACGTGACAGTGACAATGTGACCTCACCAGGCTGACCAACCCAAGCAGGTATGACTTATTGTTGGTTTAATTTCATGATCATTATTGAAGGGGTAACGGACGAGATCATAGCGTAGCAATGTAGAACCGACAGGTGCAGCATAGACAGAGTGCCAGAATAGTTGTTCTAGTACTATTTGAATCCTGCATGCATGAAATATGCTACCCATCAAAAGTTTAGACTCACTAGTGTAAATGTAGCCACTTACTTCAGGCAACTGTTCTGAACTAGATTTTGCAAAATACTCCACACTGTTTAAAGGTGCTGTTTACACATGAACTGATGTATTGTAAAACAAATTCGTAACGTTGAAAACGTTATGGCCATAGGTTCAATAAATGATGAAACTCTGTGAAAATTGAAGAATTCTTAACCAAACTTTACACTAAAACGCAGCTGTTCACATCCACGATATTTGCACATGCTTTTCAGCAATTTGATGCACGGTCCTCGGACAATTCATCTGCATATGGTTTGCAGTTGGTTGTCCCTAGTTAGTGGAGAAAGTCATCTTCGATTTAACCGTATCTATATGCATAACATATTGATATAGTGAGTGCTTTAGGTGAGTCTAAACTTTTGATGGGTAGTATATATTATGCTGATCGTATAGTTTTGTAATATCTAATAACTAAAATTGCTGAAGATCTGTCAAAAACGCAGCCTGGAGGGGAGGGCGAATTTTACTGTTTACCATTATGCTAATGAGGCATATTCAACATACATACCCAAAAGCTGTAGCCCCCAAGCAATGATCCCCTTCCAGAAGCAGAATTACCAAGATTGACGTTCGTTAAAAATCACACTGAAATAAGGATAATTTGTCCGAGTTGTAGTTAACCAGCTAATTTGGTGAAATTTTACTTTTTCCGAAAATATAACCACTTAACTTGAAAGTTAAATAATCATAAAAAGTAACTCAAGTGCCGAAACATAATTTACCACATTTATTCAAACTCTAACAATGTTACTTATGTAGACACATATGATACTTATGATTTGAGCTGCTATTATTATATCTAAAGAGGGTACATTCACATTCCGTAGTTTGGCCAAATAATCAATGAATACTCAATGTCGAGCACCTGAGAGACTGGATGTAAAAACTGATGTATTCACAAATAAGCCAATCAAATTGCTGCAAACTCTCAGTCAAGGTCACATTACTGAAGTCTGTTCTGGACAACGAAGCGATGCGTGTTAAAACGTCATCAAAATCAGCATTATAACATACTGGGCAAGATCAAGAATCTGGATCGGTAAAGCAGATTGTTGATTTTATTCACGAGACTATGCGATATATTATTTTAATCATGCCTAAAGTCAAGTATGAAGGTTTTTATAACGGGGTTAGGCTCAGCTTCACTAAAAATGGCCGCCATATCAGATAATTTGCCTGCGCCTCGCGCAAACAGAAACGTATAATGTCGAACTGGAAGAGATTATAGGACTTGTGGCATCTGGAAATTGTGTAAATCGATGGGTTGTGTCGCGTAGTTTGCAGATGAAACCATGACAATGTCCAAAACAAATTAAAAAGCTTGTTTTCAGTCGCGAAACTTAGGGGATCGTGACTTATCTGATACGAAGTATAGAATGGTCGGGAAGCTTTCGAAACCGCTGACCCAGATTGAGATGTTGTTATAACGGGACATCTCAAAGCTAACTGACAATGTTTGCACTCTGCACATGTATTGGAAATGTTTTTTTCATTTTGTAAAAGTACCTTGGGTTATTATTTAGTGACCTTTGTATCTGTATAATGTACTGATTTTTTTGACAGATAGATACATCTCTGAAACATTTTGAAAAAAGTAATCCAGGAAAAAGTTTAGGTTAGTACTAGATAATGAATTATTTATTGAAATAAAAAAAATTAAACTCGATAACTATGTTACATTTTGAGTCAATTCTTAATTAATTATGTCTTGAACAATTAACATCGTTTACAGATATAGTAAGGTTTATGTTATTTAAATATATTGAAATTTAAAGAACCAAATGAATTATACTATTAAATTCTGTGCAAAAATACAATAATTTGTTTCTAAATTAGTGTGTTAGCTATCATATTTAAAGTGTTTTTACCAGAGATAAATAGGAATAGCTAGGACATTGTCACAAGTTTATAACTTTTTATTGGACTATATCATATCCAAATATATGAAAAACATGTTTAGTAAAATTTGGATAACAATCCGTTAGTTTCTTATATTATCCCATATAAATATAGTAACTTTACATTGTTCAATTGCTGAGGATTTTCAGTCTATGTACGTTATTTGTTAAAAGTAGTTTCTTATGGTTATGCATACTAGTATTTTTTGAAGTCACTTGGTAAATATTTACGACGTAAGTCATCAAATCTAGGACAATTGAAAGCACAGTTGTATTCGTCTTCTAGACCTCCATACAAATAGGACATGTTCTCAGATTTGTGTTAATTTTACACCATCGTCCTTCATTAAATTTTAACCTTAGTAATCCAGCTCTGAATCTAACTAAATATCTACGTAATTTATAATCTGCAATTTCTAAAAGGTATTTTTTGCTTTTGTCAAGATCAGATCTTCAGGTTTGTTTAAAAACATCCACTTAATGCATTTTAAAGATTCCGATAAAACTTACACGATTTCCAAGTTTGTGACAGCCAACAAATCCAAATCCATAGGAAAAGAGCAAATAGCAAATTTATTTTTTAATACTGGAAAGGCATGAGTAGAATGTCAGTGTAAAAGGTTAACACTGAATGGAAACATTGAGATTTATAAGAGATTCTTTATGGGTTTTGTTGTAACCATGGTAACCAATGTTAAGCAACTCCGAAACACTATTGTTATGAAACACTATTGTTATAGTATAATGTAAGTTTGAAAAAAAAGTCTATAATGAAAATCTGTGATTGAAATCTGCTGAGGATAAAATTTGAGTTTAAAGTTTGAGTTTACTTGCTTGTCAATGTCATTGGTAGTCTGAACTGTTCTTGATTCCCAGTAGGCAATTTTCAATTCATTGTTATGCATGATGCTGAGGTTGGTCCAAGCACAGGATGGAAAAGATGCAGCATAAATAAAAGTACTTGCCTTTTACTACTATTTGGCTGACAATTACATGTTTATACACCAATCAAAGACTAGTGTGGTTAAAGCGATCGCCTATCACGCTGAAGACCCGTATTCAATTCCCAACATGGTTTCAATGTTTTGAGCAAGTTATCTTAGCCCAGTGGTTAAAGATATGGCATCTTCAGGAAGAACAAATCCCTGGGTACAATTTGATAAGCCCATTTTTTGTCCCCGCTTGATGTAGCTTGAATATTGCTAAAAGCTGTAAACTAAACTCAGTCAGTCAGTCAATGGTTTGAAGCCAAATTCTGGTGTCACCTCTTTGTTCTTGCTGGAATATTGCTAAATGTGGTAAAACCACTTCAATGTTTCACTCCTCACTCTGGTCACTCCTCTTCACTTCTTGCTCAATACTCACTCAATCACTGGCATCAACCCACTCACTCACTCACTCACTCTATTTCTGTGGTTTCCATGGGCTGTTTTATGTTGCAGGGTGTCAGTACAAGACTGGTAGGAATGGATGACTACCCAGGTGACGGTCAGGACCACGGGGTGAACGATGTGTCATCCGCCGACCTTCAGAGTACCATCCCCGACATCGGGATGACCCATCCCTCCCAGCTGGTTGCTTGGTCTCAAGCCCATGCCGCGGAAGATGGGCAGTATGGAGGGTTCGTTACCAACACAGGATCACAAGCAGTGTACGAAGCTCAGGTCACTGATATTGTCCAGCAAGCATACCTACAGTCTGCTCTTGTTCAGACAGATCCTGGAACAGATAAATTTACATATTCCGTTGATTCCGGTCTGGATAAGAGCTGTGAAGACCCTGGAGGCTTTTCTCGATCCATTGACACTGACAGAAGGAACTATGAGCTGCTTAGAAGTAAAGGTTTGGAGATTGTACACACTGTCGTTCTAGATGAGGAGATGGCTAAGTCTCTTCCACAACAAACTCTTCATCAACATCAAGCAGAGACTGCTTATAGACATCTTCCAAAAAAGTATCAGTGACAGCTTACCGCTTTTCGAAAGTAACACTCACTTAATGAGTCAAGACACTGCTAAAGATGTTCCCCTGCCATCCAAAACAGAAATGACGGAGTATGGCCGGGTGATGCTGAAGCACCAGCAGACTCAGTACAGCTCCCACAACATGGCCAACACAGTCATGATGTCCCCGCCCACCTGTGTGGAGGACACCCAGATGAAGATGGTTGTCAACGTTCCTGCCAAGAAGATAGCTGAGAAGGCGAAGACAACACAGCGACCAGTGAGAATCAATCCTGCAGAGGAGGTGGAGCTGTATGACCAGGAGTGGGGCGATCAGACGCGGCTGTTGCTGTTCCACTTGATGACTGAGCACAAACTGTGTGATGCTTCAATCTCTACTGGAAAGTTTACTATCAAGGTAAAAACTTCAATAGAATCATTCTTTAGTAATTCGTTCATCCAATCATGATGATTGAAACCACAGTTTGTGTTCTGAAATGGACCATGAAAAGGTAAATTTCATGAAAACAGGATAAAAGTTCTATTCCTTTACAACATAATTATATAAACTGGCTTAACCTCACTCTTCACTGAACCGGTTAAAAAATAAAATAATTGGAAAAAATCGTATAACCTAAATGTACCACAATATTTGATGCCCCTTTGTGATACGTACACACATGCATACATACACACATACCCTCACACTCATGCACACATAATGAGCATTGAAAAATAAACTGAGAACAAGCAAAGCAACTAAATATGTATAAATATGATGGATGAAAAGAAGTTATAACTTGTTCTTAGTGAATATGGCAAGATTTGAAAAATAGGTATTATTAAACCATGGACCTCAGACCCATGCAACATTGCTATATTTTTCTCTACTATTTCTTTGCAACCCACCACATCAAATAGCAGACAGCTATTATAACAATTAGTCCTATGTAGATCTTGGTTACAATTGATCAGCAAGCTGCCTGTCGTAAGTGGCAACTGATGAGATTAGGTGGTCAGGCGATGCATGTCATCATATCCAAATTGAAGAGATCGATGCTCTTGATGTCAGTCTCTGGATTGTCTGATCCAGACACAATTGTTTACAGACTGTCATATATCTCGAGTGTGGTGTAGAACAATAAACAAAACAAACTTTCACTATTGTCAAATGACAAATAACTGCAGTCGTATTCCCTCATAATGAAGACTGACTGTAAGCCATTATGCCTGTTTTCAGCTGCACAAGCTGGTGCTTGCCATGTCGAGTGAGCGGTTTGCAAGCCTCCTCTCAGAAGGTGTCGACTCTAGGTTTTCAAACATCATTGTTCCGGTGCACATCTCTGAATCTACCCTGAAAGTGTTTGTGACATTCCTGTACCTTGGCAAGGTCAAAGTTAACCTTGGATTAGTCAAGGAGATAAAAGTGTTATCCAAAATATTTGAAATCCATAATCTGGAACATCTATGCTATGGTATCATGATTAAGCACAATATGTCCACAAATGTTGGAAGCTGGCCAAAGCTGAAGGTGTCCTTTGAAAATGCAAATAAGAATTCTAAGAAGGATCAAAATGTGGGGACAGAAGAGAGTTACTTCAAGGCAATGTCTGAGATTGCTAAATCCCCTTTTCAAACAGCCAAAAGGGTCCGACTCAAGCGGGGTCAAAAGAAAAAACTGACAGGAACCATCTCAAAAACTGTGGGGCATAGATATGGCACCAGAGGAGCAACTGCCCCGAAGGTTGTTGAGGATGTGTGGGAAGATGATGATGATGATGATGCTACTGATGACTACTGATGATGATGAGGAGGAGGAAGTTGTTGGACCAGTTGTTAAGGCAGGACCAAAAGGCAGATTTCAGGCAAGAAACGCTGCCAAGAAAGAGTCCATCAGAAAAGGCAAAGTTGGACAGAAGGTTGAGAAATCCATAAGTTTTAATGATGTGAAACCTGGTTACACTGCTACAAAGTGGAAACAACCTTTGGGTGCTTCAGACATATTGCTGGAGATGTCTGAGGCAGGTGATAACTTGGGTCTAGACATGGACTCCATGGACAGAGGGGCAGCAGAGGAGACTCCTGTTCCAACTCTTCAGGGCAGGAAACAGAAGTTGCTTCAGTCGGTTGAGCTAGTCAACAAGGACGTCAGTAACACTGTGCCTGTTACTATGGAGACAAGTATGCAAGATTCGACAATAATTGTCACACCAAGTATGCCTGAAATACTTAAGAACAATGTCAGTGAAACAACTGAGGGGATCCAAGCATGTGCCAATATGACAGTGCCTCAGCCTATCCTGGATGAGGTAGCAGGAAAGCCAGACAATGCATCGGATGCTTTGACGGGGATGAAGAAAGGCAAGAAAGGAAGGGCAAGGTAAGAACTGTTTGGAAATAGTGGACAGTCACTGCCATGACTTAGGGACCAGTCATTTCTTAAGGAGTAAGGGAGGGAGGATTTTGATGCAGAAGTGTACTGACAATAATGACCCTCTCCTATAGTCCGTTTGGCTCAAAAGCGGACCGATGAATTGCAATCTAACTCGAAAACTAATAAACATAACATACTCAATGAAACGCTGATCATGATCAAAACATCATACCCACTCTGTGAGGTTTTTGCAGATTTTTTGTCATAAAAATAATAAAGTTGTTTAACAAACTATCATTAAAATATTGACACAGTTCACTGTTTGTTACGAGGGAGGAGTGCAGAGAAAGGGACAGCCAGGTGTTCGAGAAGCACGTTCACAGACAAAGTTATTTATTCATTAACCTGTGCTGTGCCGTCTCCATCTGTTCTCGAACACATGGCTGTCCCTTAGAGACTGCCTTGATGGAGTTCGAAAACGGAAACTATGTTCACGGTATCCCCAATGGGGATAGATTTTCTCGATAACCGTTATAGAGAGGGAAAAGGTATGTGTTTTCAGGGCATGAATGCGTTGATAGAGGTCGAAAACGGAACTCGTGTTACAATTTGTTACAGAATTATGGCCCTTGTCATGCGTTTCTTGACTTAGTGCACGATATCCCCAATGGGGACAGATTTTCTCGAAAACCGTTAAAGATAGGGAAACCAAATTTGGTATATGTTTTCAGGGCATGAATGCCTTGATGGAGTTTGAAAACGGAAACCATGTTCCAATTTGTTAGCGAGTTATGGCCCTTGTCATGTGTTACTTGACTTAGTTATCCCCATTGGGGACAGATTTTCTCGAAAAAAGTTATAGTTAGGGAAACCAAATGCAGTATGTGTTTTCAGGGCATGAATGTTGTGGTGGAGTTAAAAAACAAGAACCAAGTAAGAACAGAACACTGTGACGGGGATATTGATGACCATGTCTTCTTGTTTTACATTCTTTACATGTCCCATCCCCTGAAATCACTTTATGTTTTATCGTAAAATGTCCTTTCTTATTTGACTCTCCCCAAATATGTTAAATTTTATGACCCTTCCATTGAGCCTGCCATATTTTTTATGACCCTCGTCAGATACTCTCTCAGTCATCATCCCTGTGAAGATCTGGGTTTGAATTGATATTCAGCAACTCTTAATTGTCGTAAGAGGTGTCTAACGGGATTGGGTGGTTAGGCTCGCTGACTTGGTTGACACATGTCATCATATCCTAACTGCGTAGATCGATGTTCATACTGTTGATCATTGGATTGTCTGGTCCAGACTCTATTATTTACAGGCTGCCACCATATAGCTGGAATATTGCTGAGTGCAGCATAAAACCTCACTCACTCACTCACCCACCCACTCACTCACTCACTCACTCATCCATCCCCTAATAACTGATTAATCTGTTAGGCCAAATGTATGTATGTTGTTTTATGCCCTAGCCAGTGCCCTGTAAACAACTGACTGAAGCAAAGCAGTGTTTCATGCAAAAGCAGCAGTCTCTACCATTGAGTACGGTGAAACACAGTCAGCTAGGTGAAATATTGTCACCTGGATGACTGAATTAGTGTGTTTCCATGTAATTATCTATTGGTGTAGTTATATAACTTCTGCAGTAGATTTTTCAGAAAGAGGATTTTTAGGATTCTGTTTCAATACTGCAGTATAATGAGTTCGTTTAACTTGCTTCAGTGCACCCCATGGTATCCATGGTTACCAATACCTGTGCAAAGTATACCAGACAATGGAAAGATATCAGTCAGTTGTTTGTATGGTACATCTGCGACGGAATCTGATGGAAGTATACTCCTTGTGTAACCACATTATGTGAGACATCATGCAGTCAGTTTGTGGTCTGGTTCCCATGAGTCTGAATCCAAAGAGTGCTGAAAGCAATGAGCACTCAGTTTACCTTTCATAAACAGAAATGGTTCTTGCGTGACATCACTCGTACATGGGGCAGTGGGGTAGCCTTGTGGTTAAAGTGTCTGCTTGTAACGACGAAGACTTGGGTTTGATTCCCCACATGGGTACAGTGAGTGAAGCCCATTTCTGGTGTCCCCGTCATGATGTTGCTGCAATATTGCTAAAAGCGGCGTAAAACCATACTCACTCACTTGTACATTCTCCAAACCGAGTGGTGTATGCTCCACACATATCATGCTTCAGTGTTAGCCTAGAGTTTAGAGTTTGCTTCTCATAAAGTTCATGCATTGGGTAGCTGTAGGGCATATTTGGCTTGGAATCATTCATGGCATATTCTTATGGGCTGATTAATATTAGATACACCTCTCAACAATGTCATATGTATACAGGTGGGGTTGATGAAGGTGGCCAGTAGATGACTGCGATGACCTTGAAGAAGTAACATTGCTGAAAATTAATCATTACCTGTTTGTATTTACAGAAAATTGCCTCTGCCGACCCACGTGGCTGTGAGACCTCCTCCAAAGAAGAGAGCAAAGATGGAGTTGAATCGATTGACGAGAGAGAATGACAAGGATGATGATTATGATCTGCCAATGATCTTCCTCAGCCCGAGCCCGAGTCCAGCCAAAGAGCTGGAAAAGCCATCAGCACCAAGGATCACAAAGCCTCGGCCCAAGAAGAGGAAAAGATGGCCCAAAGCAGACATCACTAGCCAGCTTGCTAGTGAACTTGAGAGAATGGCAGAACATATAGAGGAAGGTGAACGACAGTACAAGTGTGAGCTTTGTGGCAATGAGTTTGTGTTTCCAAAACGGTGTGTGACTCATCTTCTGAACACCCACAATGTTACGGCTGATGAAGTGATTAAGAATGTTGTGATAAGGAGAAGGGAAGCAAGTCCAAAAGTTTGTGATATCTGTGGCTACAAGACTAAAGATCCCAACTTCTACTACATCCATTACCACAAGTATTTCCGACATGGCGTGCCACTTCCACAAGGATGGAAACCGTTTACTTGTGACATCTGTGGCAAGGAGTGCTTCACCAAGTTTCAGTTGAAGGACCACAAGCTTATCCACCAGGTAGAGACTCCGTTTGTATGTGAAGTTTGTGGGCAGGGATTCAAAAGCAGGACCTGTCTCAACAGCCATGTTTTCCACAGACACAGTGATGAAAGAAAACATTCATGTTCTGAGTGTAACAAAACTTTCAAGACAAAAACACAGCGACTTGTTCATATGAGGACTCACACAGGGGAGAAGCCATTCAGCTGCCCTGACTGTCCGTACAAGAGTACCACACGAGGAAACATGAGGCTGCATCTTTGTAACAAACATAAGTATGACCCTGAACGTATCAAGGCTCTTATGTCCCAGTTGAAGACTCTAGAACCTGGGTTTGATGCCCCTAAGATGTATCTTGAAACTGGTAGTCTGGACCAGTCTGGTATGACACATTCAGCATCAGACACTTCTGGGATAGCAGACACTTCGCTAACTGTGACAGACACCTCCATGCCCACTGCTGAAGTTCTAGACAGAGCAGTCAATGTCATTGCAGCAGAACATGCCATGCATGCCATCCTGCTGCCTCTGTCTACGACAGACTCCACAACATCTCAGAGCATCACAACCAATACAGTGGAGTCAACCATCCCCCTCACTACCATTACCACTGAGGCCCAAGTCCCTGACCAGCCTCCCTCATCCAGTCCCACACTCAGCCCTCAGAGACAGCACGCCATGGCCACCAATGCCAGTCATTTCTACATGCAGCATTCTCCCATCAGCCCTCCTCCTTCCTCTGACTCCCCCCACACCCCCTACCCAGTCATCACCAGCTTGCAGCAAGCTGTGTCGCCTCTCAACCTCCAGGCGGCTCAAGTAGTCACGACCTTGACCCCAGCATCTGTTCCTCAAGTCATGACCCCAGACGCCACCCAGACATATGAGACGGTGACTTCAGTAGGCAATAACCAGCAGCCATATGATGCAGCTATGATTCAGGCATATTATCAGCAACAGCAGCAGTTTTATCCCCATGATTATAACTAGGTGATAAAACACATATGAGCCTTATGACAGTGGAGAGTTGATCCTGGGTCAAGTACACTATGATGCAGCTATGATCTAGGCATATTATCAGCAACAGCAGCAGTTTTATCCCCACAGTTATAACTAGGTGATATCACAGTGGAGAGTTCTCTTGTTAGTTACTGGACCTGATATTCATCATCGTTTAAGGTTTCAAGGTCCACTTCAGGGCAGTCCGGTTTCATAAACAAGGCTATGCAAGTTCAAACATGATATTAGTGCTACAATTTCTTTAGCCAGTGTTATAATATGGATGTTACCTGTATCTTAAAACTGGGGCGGTGGGGTAGCCCAATGGTTAAAGAATTCACTCATCATGCCAAAGGCCCGGGTTCGATTCACCACATAGGTACTCTTTGTGAAACCATTTTTGTCCCCTGCTAAAAGCGGCGTAAAACTCATCTCTCTCACTCACTCATTCTAACACTAAGATGGCTTTGTGGACCAGAGAACCCAGGGCTTCACTGATGTCATCTTATCGATGAATCATGACAGTCGCAATATGTTGTGATGGGAGATTATAAACTGGTATGACCGAATGCATGTATGTTTAATGAAAATGATATTACATTGAAAGAAAATGAATATGTATATTATTATCAGTGACATACTATGTTTCATGTTGCAAACTTATTATGATAGTAAATGTTGTAGTGTGACAAAATTCACAAGCAGCTCATAATGTTGGATAAATAACATGATTGTTTCTTACAAAACAAGAGAAATAAGAGATCATGAATATTTTTGGGATACGAAAAGAAATTGTTTGATGATTACAAAAAGGCCTAAAAAAATGTGGTGGTCCGATTACCCGACCGACCCTTGAATTCTGGTGTTGACCCAGTTTTTTTAAGCAGACTGAATAAAATAAGCTTTCAGATACCATTGTTTTTTCCTGGCACTGACATATATCGGCCATAGAGAAAGTCGACATGATGGCCGCAAGCTTGATTGAATAAACAATTACATGTTGATACATGTGTTATTAGTTTGTACTTTCCTTCTAAAAAAAAATATGTAAAAAAATAATATCCTACTTACCTACCCTAAATTTTAAAGAGGTGTAATCGGTACCACATTTTTTTATTTGGCCAAAATATATCCTCCATAATATTCATGACCCCAAACTTTTTTCCATCTGACGATATCACCTGGCATTTTAGGGTCAAGAAATAACAACTCGGTTTTGAATCGTAACCTCTCCATGATAATCATCTTTTTCCTGTAGGGCATTGTAGTTGTGGAATGATGTACTTGTGCTTCAGTGTTCATGAACTTGTCTTGTACAATAACAATATGCAATAGTAATAAAATCAGTGTATTTTTGTTCTGAAGATGTGAATATTTCACCATTGTTTTTCACTGTTATATAGCTTGAAAATGTAATTAAATTTTTATCAAACTTGTGAACTGCAAACTTAATGCCCTACAAAAATCTGTAACCATCAAATCCACTTTGGACACCTAGCAGCCGTGGTCACCCAGTTGCCTTGAGACACTTAAGAAGCTGTGGTCACCCAGTCTCCTGTAGACACCTAAGCAGTCGTGCTCCCATGTTTATATTAGTTTGTTTTAGAACTGATGCTGACTGTTTGCTATTTTGTCCTATACATTCATATTTACAACTTTTCTATATGTACAGAATAAAGAATAGGAATCATGCTTTTGTCGTAAATTAACAAAGACAAAGCAGTCGTGCTCACCAAATCTCCTTTAGACACCTAGGCTGCTGTGGTCCCAGTCTCCTTTAGACACAGGCAGCTGTGGTCACCCAGTCTCCTTTAGACACCTAGGCAGCTGTTGTCCCAGTCTCCTTTAGACACCTAGGCAGCTGTTGTCCCAGTCTCCTTTAGACACCTAGGCAGCTGTGGTTCCAGTCTCCTTTAGACACTTAGGCAGCTGTGGTCCCAGTCTCCTTTAGACACCTAGGCAGCTGTGGTCACCCAGTCTCCTTTAGACACCTAGGCAGCTGTGGTCCCAGTCGCCTTTAGACAATTAGGCAGCTGTGGTCCCAGTCTCCTTTAGACACTTAGGCAGCTGTGGTCCCAATCGCCTTTAGACACCTAGGCAGCTCTGGTTCAAGTCTCCTTTAGACACCTAGGCAGCTGTGGTCCCAGTCGCCTTTAGACACCTAGGCAGCTGTGGTCACCCAGTCGCCTTAAGACACCTAGGCAGCTGTGGTCACCCAGTCTCCTTTAGACACCTAGGCAGCTGTGGTTCCAGTCTCCTTTAGACACCTAGGCAGCTGTTGTCCCAGTCTCCTTTAGACACCTAGGCAGCTGTGGTCCCAGTCGCCTTTAGACAATTAGGCAGCTGTGGTCCCAGTCTCCTTTAGACACTTAGGCAGCTGTGGTCCCAGTCGCCTTTAGACACCTAGGCAGCTGTGGTCACCCAGTCTCCTTTAGACACCTAGGCAGCTGTTGTCCCAGTCTCCTTTAGACACCTAGGCAGCTGTTGTCCCAGTCTCCTTTAGACACCTAGGCAGCTGTGGTTCCAGTCTCCTTTAGACACTTAGGCAGCTGTGGTCCCAGTCTCCTTTAGACACCTAGGCAGCTGTGGTCACCCAGTCTCCTTTAGACACCTAGGCAGCTGTGGTCCCAGTCGCCTTTAGACAATTAGGCAGCTGTGGTCCCAGTCTCCTTTAGACACCTTAGGCAGCTGTGGTCCCAATCGCCTTTAGACACCTTTAGACACCTAGGCAGCTGTGGTCCCAGTCTCCTTTAGACACCTAGGCAGCTGTGGTCACCCAGTCGCCTTAAGACACCTAGGCAGCTGTGGTCACCCAGTCTCCTTTAGACACCTAGGCAGCTGTGGTTCCAGTCTCCTTTAGACACCTAGGCAGCTGTTGTCCCAGTCTCCTTTAGACACCTAGGCAGCTGTGGTCCCAGTCTCCTTTAGACACCTAGGCAGCTGTGGTCCCAGTCTCCTTTAGACACTTAGGCAGCTGTGGTCCCAGTCTCCTTTAGACAATTAGGCAGCTGTGGTCCCAGTCGCCTTTAGACAATTAGGCAGCTGTGGTTCCAGTCGCCTTTAGACAATTAGGCAGCTGTGGTCCCAGTCTCCTTTAGACACTTAGGCAGCTGTGGTCCCAGTCGCCTTTAGACAATTAGGCAGCTGTGGTTCCAGTCGCCTTTAGACAATTAGGCAGCTGTGGTCCCAGTCTCCTTTAGACAATTAGGCAGCTGTGGTCCCAGTCTCCTTTAGACAATTAGGCAGCTGTGGTCCCAGTCTCCTTTAGACACCTAGGCAGCTGTGGTCCCAGTCTCCTTTAGACAATTAGGCAGCTGTGGTCCCAGTCTCCTTTAGACACCTAGGCAGCTGTGGTCCCAGTCTCTTTTAGACACCTAGGCAGCTGTGGTCCCAGTCTCCTTTAGACACCTAGGCAGCTGTGGTCCCAGTCTCCTTTAGACACCTAGGCAGCTGTGGTCCCAGTCTCCTTTAGACACCTAGGCAGCTGTGGTCCCAGTCTCCTTTAGACAATTAGGCAGCTGTGGTCCCAGTCTCCTTTAGACACCTAGGCAGCTGTCGTCCCAGTATCCTTTATACACCTAGGCAGCTGTGGTCCCAGTCGCCTTTAGACACCTAAGCAGCTGTCGTCCCAGTATCCTTTATACACCTAGGCAGCTGTCGTCCAAGTCGCCTTTAGACACCTAGGCAGCTGTGGTCACCCAGACTCCTTTAGACACCTAGGCAGCTGTGGTCACCCAGTCTCCTTTAGATACCTAGGCAGCTGTGGTCCCAGTCGCCTTTAGACACCTAAGCAGTCGTGCTCCCATGTTTATATTAGTTTGTTTTAGAACTGATGCTGACTGTTTGCTATTTTGTCCTATACATACATATTTACAACTTTTCTATATGTACAGAATAAAGAATAGGAATCATGCTTTTGTCGTAAATTAACAAAGACATAAAAATATGTCACATGTTTTTGAAAAACCTTTTCAGCATTAACTTATCAATAAATTCTTCGTATTGTTTATGAAGTTTCACATGTAATAATACATAGGAGTCACCCAGCAGAAAATGGGTACCTGGTGGGATAAGTCATGTGACTATAACCTTCTAGCGCCTAAGCTAGGTTATCCAGGTATTATTGTGCAGTGCTATTCATGTGGAGTTTGGCGCTATATAATGCCACACAAATGGACGCATTATTATTGTATATGACTGAAATCTTCAACAAACTCATTCACGATTTTAAGATATACTTTGTCTTTGAGAAGCTGTATGTGGTAATGTATCATTGATATGTCTCAGTGACAACCTTGAAACAGTATTGTGCTATTTAATCAAACGATATTCTGATCTCAATTTCATTTTCAATACAGAACTGTTACTTTGAATATGATGACAAATGAATTTACTAGTATTACAGTCTCATTGTCATCAATTTTTGTTTTGTTTGTGTTTCTGATTTACAGATGATCAAATAATAATGATTCAGAGGAGTGAGTGAGTGTGTGCCTCTTTTAGCAACATTCCAGCAATATCAGGGCGGAGAACACCAGAAGTGGGCTTCACACAGTGTCCATATGGGGAATCAAACCATCTTCGGCATGACAAGCGAACACTGTAACCACTTGGCTACCCCACATAATATGATTGATAAGCACAATGACATTTGGAATCCTGTTAACCCCATCCCCCCTTAACCAGGTATCTTCTTATATGGTACTCATGTAGGGAATCAAACCCAGACCTCAGGGCTGTCTCTATGCTGCTGAAAGGTCATTCATCTTACAATTTAAGTTGGGATCACTTTGAAGCTGCTTAATTTGAAACTAGATTTAGCATGTTTAGATGTTAGGCAGGAAAGAGTTTAACATCATCAGGTGTTTAACATCATCATTAGCTGTTGTTAAATCACTTCATCACAATTTGTCCTTTGTCTCACATTAAGTCATTAACATGTTCACTTTTCTGCATCTTCTCCTAGAAACTAACATTGTTGAGGCTGAACAATTGGTATAATCAGTGTTTGTACATTTGGTGCCACAGTTCTTATTGGTCTTTCAGTGGACATAAAATGCTAGTTTTATTATTATCCGAATCATATCGGTATGTGTATGTTTGATAAGCAATAATGACTTGATGCAATATCATAATAACTTGTGAGGAGGATGTTGTCGGACATTATTACTGACCTGAGACTCCAGTTTGTGATGAGATGCTGATCTATAGAGAGACTCTGATGTATAGTGAGACTCAGATATGTGGTGAGACTCAAATATATAGATGATAGATAGTGAGACACAGATCTGTGGTGAGATACTGATCTGTCAGGGGCATAGCTACCATTACAGAAAAAAGCCCGGGTTTACACATGATTGTTGCTAATAAGTTGGACAAGCCCTCAATACTATCTAAATATAAAGCTTTGCAACCTATCAGGCTTACGAAAAAATTGGCTTGCTACGCGCCTGTCTATGGTGAGTCCGGAGTCTATTCTGAGATGCTGATCTATGGACAGACTCTTGTTTAGTGAGACTTTGATCTGTGGTGAGACTGTTCAATGGTGAGATGCTGGTCTGTGGAGAGAGGGGCTGATCTATAGTGACATGCAGAAATTTTGTGAGACTGTTCTGTAGTGAGACTAAGATCAGTGGTGAGACTCACATCTCACTATATAGTGAATTTAGTTTCTGTATGAGTAGCACTGTAACAAAATATCTGTCCAAGGTGCTCAGATACTAAAGGAAGAGACAGAATTGAGAGACAAGAATAACTCAAGGAAAACATCTCATGATATTTCATCAAGAAGCCTTAGCAGTTTGTTACTTATTTATCTGCAGCAGTGGCCCACCAGAATGAAATGCTTTCCATTACCAGTTTCAATAGATTACAAATGTTGCCATAGTTACTCTGGAGACAATTAAGAGCTAGAAATATCCTTGTATTACTTGTTTGTGGACACTTAAGAAACGTTCATTATTATGTTTCCAGTGTCATGAATGACTGGAAAACATCTCTCTAAATTATAAAAGACAACTTTATGTCAAACACAAGACATCATTTACAATGTCTGTGAGATGGCATGAGTAAGGGCTGACATTCCCAGGTGAGAGATCAATCACAGTTTGTGTGTCATTCTGTCTTCCATTATCCATCTCCATGGCAATGCTCACAATCAAGGTGAAATACATACCATGGGTTAGCTTTTGAGTGAGTGAGTGAGTTTAGTTTTACGCCACACTCAACAATAGTCCGGCTATATGGCTGCTGTATGTAAACATTCAAGTCTGGACCAGACAATCCAGTGATCAAGAGCATGAGCATCTATCTACACAGTTGGAATACAATGACCTGTATCAACCAAGTCAGGAAACCTGGCCACCTGATCCTGTTAGTCGCCTGTTACCACAAGCATGGGTTACTGGAGATCAATTCTAACCTGGATCTTCATGTGTTTTAGCTTTTGACCTGTTTGTCCAGTGTGGTATTTTTTCATGTTCATATATGATATGTTATATATGTTTGTAGGATGTTACAAGCATGTGTGTTATGTACAGTAGTTTAGTACATATATCAATCAATCTTGTATCATTGTTTGTCATCTGTCAGACTTTGTCTGATGGAATAACTTTGACAGTCACCTGTTTTTATGCATGGAATGTTGACCTTGTTTATGTGATTTACAAATTAAATTCACTGCATTTATTCTGTGTCCTGTGTTTCATTGTCTGTGGCACAAGGTGAGGATGTCAATGTGGTGTAGAGTCAACCTCTAAGAGTCCATTTGGGCCTTTAAGTTCTGTTTCCTTATTGTTTTCATAACAGTGTTAATAACAAGAATAATTATTTTCAGATCGACTTCATACCACTGTAATATACCGAGAATAAAAGTTAAACGCCAGCCTATTTCAAACCTTAGATGTGAAGCTGTGGAAATGTTAGGCTAAAATAATTGGGAAGACCAATCCATAGTTAGAGAAGGTTCATCTGGTAACTGGTTTAGGGATATCATAATCATTTGTATTTACAATTAAAGGAAATATTGTTAAAGATATGATGGCACTGATTTTTAATGCAAAATAACTATTCCTATTCTGCTTATACAACACTATTAAACTTAGGTTTCACTTGTCAAAATGACTATCATGTGACTTATATAACAGTCATTTCTGATTTTCACTTTTCAAAAGAAGGTAACTTTTTTGAGGAAAACAAAATGCATAGTTTCCAAAAGCACATATATACTGTTTAAAGTAAAAGATAATTTCCATAATGGTTTTGTTTTTAAACTAAAAGAACTAAACCAAATTATGGTAGTTGTTTTTTCTGAAAGATTTCCTATATTGGCAAAATATACTAGGCAGCGCTTAACTTTTATTCACAGTATATTATAAGGTGCTGCGTAAAACAAGTCTGGTTTGGACCCAATTAGTTACAGACAACTTTCACATATAATATATTGCTGAGTATCAGGTTAAACACTGAAGAAACAAACGAATATGGTATGTCACAGGGTTGGGTTTTTGCATGATCTTACATCTACAGCCTTATTTTATGTCTTACACTTCTCTCACAAGGATGTATTCAGAGGGGTGCCACCTCCCCATCCTGCCTTGACATAGTGTTTAAATATATATTAAAAAATAAACACATATTTAACAAAAATATAAATAAATATTCACTGATGGGTATAAAGTTGGACTGAGTAAATTAATTAGCATATGTATTTGTCTTTTTTGTTAATATCAGTGCCTCAATTACCATCAAAATTTCTACTAGGATGATTTAAGAAATTATGCACACATCCGTTCCCCATCAAAAAGCTGTATCCCTGTCTTACCTCTTTTTTTCTGTTTCGACTATGATGACAATTTGTGTTAGCCACACTAAATAACTGTTGACAGTTGGTGTTGACACTAATATAGTATAAGTTTTATCTGCATCAGTCTGTTGACAGTACTAATAGTTTGCTTTGTGCAAGAACAATCCAATTCACAAACAGCAACAAGACAAAGCAGTTTAATTCAGTGAAACTCACATCACACGTCATTCGCATTGTCTGGAAATTAAGAGGTGGTGCTGTTTCTCCAGCCGAAATAAGACGATAGATACTAAAAACCGATCAACTGAAGAAGATGTTATGTACTTTATACATGTAAACTGATGACTACTGAATGAGGAAAACACTCTGTTATGACCGTCCGTTGGAAGGTAGTGGCTGTCGTCCGCGTCTAGTTCTTCAGAAACATCCCAACAACGACGAACACGAAACTGATGAAGGAGACTCGGACAGCGTTGCCTGGAAACAAAGTGAGTGAGTTAGTTTAGTTTTACGCCGCTTTTAGCAATATTCCAGCAATATCACGAAGGGGGGACACCAGAAATGGGCTTCACACATTGTACCCATGTGGGGAATCGAACCTGGGTCTTCGGCGTGACGAGCGAACGATAAATAACCACTAGGCTACCCCACCGCCCCCAATGGAAACAGAGAGGAGAGTTATTCGTAATTTTTCTGTGAGTGAGTATGGTTTTACGCCGAAACATCTCGTTAATTCAAGTTTTTGCTTAATTTTGCGCAATTTCCATGTTCTCGTTACTTGAATATTTTCGCAATTTCCGTTACACTTTTCGAGTTAAAAAATAAGTAACAAAAGAGAAAACAATTGAATTTGCATGAAAATACTCGAAGTAACAGAAAACAGTCTCGAAATTTGGAGACAAAAATACAAAAAAACAAAAAGAAACCTTAAAATGTTCTAGGTTTTGAAAGACAACTGAATTAACGAGAATAAACTGAAAATAAACCAAAAATTGGAATAACGGAAATTTCGTTTGATAAAATAACGTTTAGGTCTGTGCTCTCCATGTGGTAACATTAGGCTCCTGTGTGAAAACACCCCTCTCAGAATCTTATACACATGTTGACGACTGGATTCTCTGGTCCAGATTCGATTATTTACAGACCGCCACTGTTTTACTTGGAATATTGCTGAGTGCGGCGTTAAACAACAAACAAAATCATAGATTTGGTGAATCACAGCTGTACTCACCAGCGGCACATCCGCAATGTGTTGTGGTCTTCATCCTGGCTGCATAGCGCATATCAGCGCTTGTCTTGGTCGAGTCACACCCAGCGGACGTAGTCATGTAAGTACACTCTACATACTTGGCTGCAGCTCTGGCAAAAGAATACCATTTGAACGACTTGTTGAGATTTTACGGGCGCTTTAAACAGTTGACAATGATGTGTTAGGACACCATTTAGAACTGAAAACATCTCCGGAAGTGTCCTTGATAAAGGGAGATAATACATGAAAGGGGAGATAATAACTTTTTAGAAAGGACTGTGAAGTCTCTCAGAATATATGATTTTGATAGAAACAGTAAATTACTTTATAATGAACACGCTTATAACGAACTGTCGGATATAACGAACTGCCTTTTGGTCACTGGCTGTATATAATAATCGAAATGCGTACAACGAACTACGGTTGTATCGAACTACAATTAGTGGTCAGTTGGGGTTCGTTATAACCGAAGGTTTCTGTATTCCATTCAAATTTAAAGGAGCGCCAGGTAGATGGGAGAATCGGAGGAAAGATCAAAACTCGCTTTAGGGCCTTTGTACACAGAAAGGACAAGGCGAAAGAAAAATGATATGCTTGGTGGTCTGTTAGACACACTAAGCGACCATGTTAATAGATGAATTGTCTCTCACCAATTGTAACAAATACTAAGGGAAGGTTTCGTTCATTACATGGCAGTCTCAAAACATGTTGACAGCATTAAATATATTCAAAACAATTTGAAAATGACAAAGAGTGAATAGGGATGAAGAAAGACTGTTACTGACTTCACATTTTAGAACTCTGTTCATGAATGTCGAATTTGATCTAATCTTAAAAGTAAAACTTGTTAATTGGTAAATGTGTCTCCCTAAGCCCTCACTAAAACAAATTCCACATGACACGAGTATCGTGGTTAAAAACTTATGAGAATAGACGGTCTAAATAAACAGCAATGAACCCCCACCACCCTCCTAAAAAACAATAATAAAATAGAATAAAAAACCCGAACAATTTTCGAAAAACAACAACAACAAATGAAAAAAACCCAAAAGAAAAAAACCCCTGAACAACAAACATCTGTCGCCTTATACCGGTAAGTCCATAAAGTGGGTTGTCCGGATTGGAAAGGTTTCACTTTATTTTGATCCTGTCACGTTATTATTGTGTTATTGTTTGTGTTGGTTTTTCGATCACATCGGCTGGGAAAATTGCTGTTTGCTGCGACTGATAGGATTGAACAACCCAAGTGTTTGTAGTACTTACACACACATCAAGTCATTGGTTGTCATTGATCTTCCCAGGTAGGCGAGTTCACAAACACATGTAGATGTTAGTGCTGAAAAGTAAATATACGGAAGTTACGGAAGTGGCAGCATATGGCGTGTCGTAATCTGATTGTTTGGGAGCTGTAGTAAACCATCTTAGGATAAAGTAAGTCCAGGCAAGGAATATGATTTTGCAATTTTACAAATGGCTAATGTTGTGGTCAGTTAAACAAGAGTGGACGTATATTTTCAGGTTAGTACATTTTGGTTTCGTCCAGTGAAAATCTGACATACGTCAATTTAGTTTTGGTTCTTTGACTGTAAAATGTGATGCATTCATCTCCCATTATCTCCCCATACACCTGGTATTAAATGATCAGTTCCTAATACAAGTTACTCACCACAGGTGTATCCTGCTAGGGAAAGGGCGAGAACTGCAGCCGAAGCTTCCCCAGACCTGGTTATCACAGCAGTGCATCCATCTCCGCTTGCCTTCGATAGACATCCACCGTACGCCTTAATGGCACTGAAAATTTATGACACGTTGTTACTATCTGAATTGGTACTAACCTACCGGGTACCCGTTTGCAACAGACGTTACGTTTGCGTGATGATCATGACCTATTTGCATGATGCCTGAATCTTGCACATTCGTCACAACTCACCCTTCCGTAATCTGCAAGAAGGCTCAAGTCGCCATTTGACGTGTCCTTTCAGCAATTTTACAGCAATATCACAGCGGTGACACCAGACACTGGCTTCACACATTGTACCCATGTTGGGAATGGAACCTTCTACGTAACGAGCGAACGCTTTAACCACTAGGCTACCCCACCTTCCCCGGAATGTCAATTCTGGTTGGTTGGTTTGTTGTTTAACGCCGCACTCAGCAATATTACAGCTATATGGCAGCGGTTTGTAAATAATCCAGCCTGGACCAGACAATGCAGTGATCAACATTATGAGCATCGTTCTACGCAATTGGGGACCGATGACGTGTTAACCAAGTCAGCGAGCCTGACCATCTGGTCCGTTAGTCGCCTCTTACATGCATGGGTTGCTGAAGACCAATCCTAACCCGGATCTTCACGGGTCTTCCCCGGAATGACACGAGTTGGTCACAGATGGAATCTCACTGTGCAGAGTTATGTCCTTCAGTCACACTGGTCTCGCACCCCGGATTCAACCCTGCTGATATTGTCTGGTTAGGCGAAACAACAAACTAAGACTCAAAATTTTTATCTTGTAATGTAATCGGAATAAAGCAGATCCTGTTGCGGATCAGGCCAACCATTATGCTGACATTGGTGGAGGTGCAGTGTAACTCTCGTTAGTTTTCAGCAATATCCCAGCAATATCACGGCGGGGGACACCAGAAATGGGCTCCACACATTGTACCCATGTGAAGAATCGAACCCGGGTCTTTGCGTGACGAGCGAACGCTTTAACCACCAGGCTACCCCACTGCCCCGTTAATTTGGAAACAGTGTGAGAGTGGGTGTACTTCGCCTTCTGTAGTGTGAAGCCCATTTCTGGTGTCCCCCGCCGTGATATTGCTGGAATATTGCTAAAAGCGGCGTAAAACCATACTCAGTCCGTCAGTCGCCTTCTGTAAATATGCCGGTTTTAGTGTTGGCCCACTAAGATACCAGGCCGCAGTTTAACATGGACTCCACACTCAGACACAGTATACTCCGAGTCAGCAAGTCCTTGTTTCTTCATGGTTATTGTGTGCGCCAGACAGGGTATTAAAAAGTACCATTTTTTAACGTCTGTTGGAATAACGCAACTGGGGATCGAACCAACGACCTTCCCCTCTCGGTCAACGCTTTATCCGCTTCACCACTGATGTGGTTGTACTCGGAGGTTTCTAAATTGTAACACGTACTCGCATTTCTGGCCATTCGTCGTGGAGGCACTGTTGTAGACGCTGTCAAAGTTGGTTTTGCACACCGTGCACGTCGCTGCCAGAGCTGTGGGAACCGCGACTGAAAAATGACCAAAACAGAATTAGTGAGTTAAATGGTTTCACGTCGTGTAAACAATACATCAGCAATTTCAGGATACGTTGTTCACAAACCTAGATATATAGTCAGTGGGAACTGGGATTTTAACTCACGATAATAAATTTCGGATATAACTCTTCTCAGCGAATGAAAAGGTTTTGACCAACACTAATAGTTAAACCCACTGCTGCATTGGAGAATCAACACTTTCTAAATTTTATTAAGGCTATGTCAATCAATAATTTCTAACATATATATATATATATACTGTCAATATAAAGCCGCTAATGTGACGTCATGGCAACGCCGCGTCACAACATTTGTATACAGTTGCATTGTGACGTCATGACAAATTGACGTCATAACATAATCCGTTTAACTGTAATCACTTCTCCCTGAAGATAAAAGTGAAACATGTTGGAAAGATCCGTGAATTTCAGATAATATATATATATATATATATATATATATGAAACATGTGTGGAGAAGATCCGTGTCGTGTGATTGGTATTTCAGAAACTTCTTCTTATATACCTATATATATATATATATCGAACGGAACTACTTTTCATTCAATTTCATGTTTTCTCATCGTAGGTGCGCAATAATGACACAACACAACGTTTATGAATGAGTGACATGTCGTGACTTTACCAAGGCTTCCTAATCAAATGTTAATACTACTCATCAACCAAGGTTCGACCCAAAAACTCCACAAAATGGTTTCTGCCAACTCTTCGCGTCATCAAGGCAATTCTCTAGTGATAATGATAAAATATTAGATAAGATCACAGAAAATTAATTAAACCCTTTAAAACGATGATGTGACCTTGCAAATGTGGATGATTTTAATTCTTGCAAGCGTAAAATATTTGAGCGAGTGACGTCATCGTTATCGCTTGGTTGTTGTCGTCATCGGAAGATTGTTTTGGATATCTCTGCACATTGGGGATCTGTACTTGTGTACCAGTTTACGTTCAATGTTCTCCCATCGACCGGAGCCAAAACTTTTGAGTGTGTGTAATTAGGTGCACCCAGTGTGCTTGAATGTGACATTGCTGAGGTTACGTTCATTATCAATGGGGGACTACTCTTCTTCGCCACATCCTTCTCGTTTTCCCGAGCCAGAAACCGCCACTTGGAATGTAACGGAATTTACGGAGTTGTCAGTATGAAATGTGAGTTGATTACATCCTGTAAGTTATCAAGACATAAACTTTTCATTATCATGCGTCGGAGGAATATCTTGAGCAATGACTTATGTGTAGATCAACCGTTCCTGTACATGTTCGATTGAATAGAAAGGACGTGTGCCGCCATTTGCACTCATGAAGCCTTGCAAAACGTACCATGTTGTACATTGTTTCAACGAGTGTGTTTTGGTTCAGATTCTCATGAGTGAATTTGATAACATTGCAATCACATAGTATCTCGGAGCTGGAAGTGGGTCTTCATCATGTGTATCAGTGAAACATGTCATCTTGATCAATGCATCAAAGAAACAACGAGGCAAATCGATCTCACAATGGACAGGCACTGACGTTATCGTGTCAGGTATATTTGCAAGACGACACATGACACTTGTCGCATCTCTCCAGTAAAAGTACCAGTGTTGTACATTTTGAATATTCGAAGGGAATCAAGGGCTTTATCTCTAACGGTGATTTTCACATAATTGTTTACACAGGTATCACTGATTGTTGGAGCCATTTTGAATTCATGACTAAGAATCAAAAGTTTTAATAAAAGGAATTAGAAAATAAATAGATTCGTGTTATATTTATTCTACTTGTGACTCATTGTATAAATACCTGTTTATGTTGCAATCGCGAAAATAACAGGTAGGTGTAAAGGGGGTATTTTTTGCACGAGTAACAGATTTCTGTTCGATTGAAGCACGAGTAACTTATCAATGAATTTTAATCAGGAAAGTAGTCCGTCATAACCTGACCCTAGGTCATCACCATGGAGTAGCCAATCACGGGATTAGAAATCGATCTCACACATATGTGTGATACCAGTTTTCTCACATGGGTTTCTCACCCACGGGTATGTAAGAAAAAGGCATTCTGTTTTTATTTATCTATGTAATATATATATATAGAATCAATATAGAATCAACACTTTCTAAATTTTATTAAGGCTATGTCAATCAATAATTTCTAAAACACACATATATATATATATCTTTTTTCTTGCTCAAGATCATTTATTCATGTATATAGTTATGATGCGATAAGTCAATCTCATAAATTGGTACCTCTATAGGAAACACTTAACTGGTCGACTAGTCCGATACTACTTTCAAGCTCAACAAATCAATGTGATGCTCCCCTTCTGGAATTTCATTTAAAGCCCACATAAGCGTTTCCCGTTGAGTCGCCGAAACATGGCTTAAGGTATTTGACACCATATTGAAATGGGCGGTTCGTTTAAAATCTGTATTCATGCGCGGTTCGTGAAGCTTATTCTACTGAGTTAAATCGTGAATATCTGTTATTTTTAAAGTGACATTAAATGATGAATCGATTTTACCTTCGTCTTTTCTTATCGTAATTATCCTGTTAGGAATGTCACTCAAACAAATCATAACACTTCCTGTTAGGAATAAACCTCGCCAAAGGTTCTCGTGATAAGACAAAAAATTCTCAGCTAAAAGGTTTTCTGCTATTAAAAGTACAAATTAGAAAAAAAGTAATAATGATAATAATACGAGATAATAAAACATCCACATATACTATGACAAATGATACTGTTAAAAGCTTTAATAAAAATTTGTTTCGACATTATTATCGATAACCCGCGTCTCAAACAGTGACTGAGAGGTAGATATTCCTGATAAACTGCGATAATAAGAGAAAATGATCACAAAATAAAGCATTATAATTATCATTACGAGAAAATATAAATCAAAACTTCCACTGACACTACGACAAATGATGTTGTCAGCCAATGCAATGGTGAGAACTCTACCTGCAAGGGCCAAGAATACGACGAGGTTGGATGACATCGTGGCTGTTGATGAGGTTCCAGAGGCAAGTGCCGTCCCAGCTGCAGGAACCCTGTTTTATATTTATTCCATGGTCGTTCACCCGTTTCAGTGCCACGATACAAGCAAATCGCTAGATCCAATCAATACCAGGAGAGTGTGAATGATCCGATTGGTTCCCATCACTAAAAGAATTGATCTACCAAACTCAACTTGGCGACCAAAGGACTGAACTCTACGACTCTTGCGTCCATTGTAGCTGTTGAATATTTGACGTAAAATAAGTCTTTGGACGAAGCTTTTGTTCTTTGTCTTTGGTTCTTTGGCTAAACAATGCTTGAGAGTTGAGTACCTGTTCATTTTGGTTATTGTAGAATGTGTGTTATCACCAGAATACATCTACTGACAAGAAACATCAGCAACAGTTGGACGACTGCTCTTTTATTTTTCTAAATACAGTTCAGTTTCAAAATACTTTTGATTTTTCTTAAAAAATATGTTGATAACTGAAATTCGATAATACTTATGATGATACAAATTAATACTCTTCAGACTGATAGACTTTCTGGCCGTGTAGTATCATCACACTTTTCTCTTCATGAAATCATGATTAAATATCCCATATAGAATTTCTTTTCTCATTTTGAACGTCTATAAAAATTCAAAGGAAAATACTTGAGCATAATTTTCGAAGCTCACACCGATATTGGCGGGCTAAATGTGAAATTGTTGAATAACACTTGCAAAAAAAATATCAAAAACCGATTCGTCCATCTTTTCTTTTCAAGAACCAGCATTTTATTACTACGTGCCGGCCGCGGGAGTGCAGGAATGAAAGTGTCCACGTATAGGATATATACTGAACAGCACTGAAAAAGCACCACCAGTAAAATGGATGTATTTTTTTCCGGGCTTAAGTCATATGAAAATATATCAGCGAATGAGGTCTGTTGTAGACAAACCATGATGAAGGACAGCTCATAAGCCCACAGCTCTTTAAAAAAATCCACATCACTTGTGGCTGTAGACGTGACGGGTATTGACACAAGAGATGCCAAGACTGTTAGCGGAGAAACGTGAACATGTCTTGGTCATGCTTCAAGTTGGCGTCAAGTTGAGGTGTCGCGCAGCGGCTTCAATGCCAGTATTCAACCAGAGACCATAGAATAGATTATTCTATATGGTCTCTGATTCAACCAGAGACCATAGAATAGATTATTCTATATGGTCTGTGATTCAACCATCCTCAGACCACATATCAGATACCAGCAGGCAGGAACCACCAGAGATCGAATACGTCCGGGTCAACATCGTGTAACGACACCGCCAAAATCGCCATACTGTTCGCCGAAATCTTTAAGATGAACTGCGTAATGTGTGGAATGCTATCCACACCGGATTGAGTTTAGTTTTACGCCGCTTTTAGCAATATTTCAGCAACATCACGGCGGGGAACACCAGAATGGGCTTCACACATTTTACCATGTTGGGAATCGAACCCGGGTCTTCAGCGTGACGAGCGAACGATTTAACCACTAGGCTAACCCACCGCCCCCAGAACACTATTCAAAGACTCATCGAATCAATGAAAGGCAATGGTGTTGCTGCCAATGGTGGACATACCCGATATTGACTTATCGTTTTGACCCCATGTGTCTGCCATCCACTGATGACATAATGCTATCGTTGTGTGGTAATCCATATGTTCCTGTTCTAACTACAATGGGTTATTGTTCAAGCCGTTTTTGTGATTTTACAAGATTTCTTACATTATAGTATCTCCTGGCAGAAGTAAAAGGAAAAGCAACTGATAATAATACAGTATACTATGAGAGCAATCGATAGACAAAACTGACAACGTACTGCTTTGACAACGTATTGATGTTGTGCAACTGTTGTAGTTACGACAACAGTTAAATTGTGCTGTTGTAGTTCTAGCAATTAAGCCAGTTAAGTTCATCTGCCCCGAAGGCTCGGATCGGTGAGACGAAGTGACTGATCCCCAATGTCTACTAAGTAATTCATTTGCTGTTGGAGATGAGTGACATTATTTACTAAGCCAACAGCAACTCGATCTTTAAAAATATATATGTAATATCGAGAGAGAGAGAGAGAGAGAGAGAGAGAGAGAGAGGGGGGGGGGGGGAGAGAGAGAGAGGAGGAGGATCGAATCAACACTTCACTCTCTCTATATATATGGCCACGTTTATTCGGGGTGTCAGTTATCCATGATAATGTCTCCAACTATTCCTGTGCTACTACTAATAACAAGGTAACACGTCGTGGCCTCAGTCAGGCAAGGGTATCATCTTAAACGGCATTGGTTAAAAGAATACGGGTCAATACATCACCCTGCAGGCCACCACTCTGACAATTATGTCGTTACCATGGCGAAGGTGGTGTTATCTATGTCAACTGGGTGTGACTGTTTCTATGGATGTGTTTGAAAAACAGTCATGTTATTGTCATCATCGGAAAGTGGTATGAATCATTAAGACGACACGGAGCGACCAGTGCATAATCCATTGACTGTAAATGGCCACATTATCATCAATACATTTTCTGATATAGGTCACATTGGTTTTCTATTGTTATTCGGCCTTACTGTAGGCGATGACACATGCCTAAGATGACACATGACTAATGAGTTTATAAGGTGTCAAACCGCCATAACGTTGACTGCAACTACAATGTATGAACATATAATTGTCAACAAACTGTGTCCAGGTTACTAATAATACGTTTTACCTCAAAGTGTAGCTAGTATTAATACTTATCTTCTTCAAATTAAACACAATTCTTCCTATTAGAAACACTTAAATTATTTACTTACTTTCATCTCCTTTGTTACTTTTTTAAAGTGCGTGAGTATGGTTTTACTCCGCCTTTAGCAATATTCCTGCAATGTCACGGCGGGGGACACCAGAAATGGGCTTGACACATTGTACCCATGTTGGGAATCGAACCCGGATTTTCGGCGTGACAAGCCAACGCTCTACCCACAAGGCTACCCGACGGCCTTTATGTTTTCAAGAGTAAGAGACAAAATATACTTCATACTCGTTTGAGATCGCCCCGTATTTACCCAATACTGCAGTGTGTACAGTTCAATATTTATTTGATCTCCTTTTCTAAAAAAGCTTATGCATGAGCTGGAAATCATGTCAAATGCCAATGATTTTTTAATCTCCCGATTACAAACGCCGAAGACCCGGGTACAATGGGTGAAGCCCATTTCTGGTGACCCCCCTGCCCTAATATTGCTGGAATATTGCTAAAAGCTGTGTAAAACCCATTCTCTTCCCATAGAGGTTACTTGTCATATCTTCCTGAAGATGTGGGAAGAGGTTACTTCTCATATCTTCCTGAAGATGTGGGAAGAGGTTACTTGTCATATCTTCCTGAAGATGTGGGAAGAGGTTACTTGTCATATCTTCCTGAAGATGTGGGAAGAGGTTACTTGTCATATCTTCCTGAAGATATGACAAGTAACCTCTGTGGGAAGAGAATGTGTAAAACCATAATCACTCACTCACTCCTGATTATAATGTCACTACAATTAATTTAAATAACACTACGTTATCTTGAAGGTCTTTTGTTCGTTCCAGAAAATTTCCATGGTGGTCTTCATGTCTTTAATCTCTAAACTTAATCACTTTATTTTCACAACAATGTGTACAATTCGTCATGTCGTATCATACGTAGATGATGATTTTGCAGCTTCAGCCACAACCACTATCACCAGTACTACTACTGAGTGAGTGAGTGAGTTTAGTTTTACGCCGTATTCAGCAATATTCCAGCTATATGGCGGCGGTCTGTAAATAATTGAGTCTGGACCAGACAACCCAGTGATCATCAGCATGTGCATCGATCTGCGTAATTGGGAACCGATGACATGTGTCAACCAAGTCAGTGAGCCTGACAACCCGATCCCGTTAGTCGCTTCTTACGACAAGCATGGGTTACTAAAGGCCAATATTCTAACCTGGACCTTCACGGGTCACTACTACTACTACTGCTTCTACTACTACTACTACTACTACTACTACTACTACTACTACTACTACTACTACTACTACTACTACTACTCCTCCTACTACTACTACTACTACTTCTACTCCTCCTACTACTACTACTACTACTACTACTACTACTTCTACTTCTACTACTACTACTACTACTACTACTACTACTACTACTACTACTACTACTACTCCTACTACTTTTAGAATTACTTATATCTTGATTGTTACGACAGTTGTTTATCTTACTATCTACCGCCTTTAACTTCGACAATAGCTGAAACCACTACCACCGCATTGCATCAAACAGATGTACAAAACAATAATATAGTTCAATTGAACCGAGATATTTGCTTTGACTACAACACACATTCACGTGAAAGTATTTCTCAGCACGTCCCATACACAATATACATACATAACTATTCATTAAAATGACAATCACGTTTTAAACATAGTTGTATTTTATATAAATATTCGTAAATGGAACATCCGCCACTGTTTTGATTCATGCAGTAATTGTTTGATGTGAAGTTGCCGGGTGTCTATTGAACGACATCATCTGAAGTCGAGCATTCTGGTTACCTCAGGAACCAAGCGAGTTCAGACTTTAGAAATGGGTGTGTCTGGTTTGATAATCGTTTTATAGATCAATGAAACAAATAAACGGTGTCGCTGAATTTACTAGCCTTTGTTAGTAATGGATCTCGCTCCACGGCTAACTGATAGAGCGGCTTTGCGCCTCAGGACATAGTACTTGTTACATTGATAACAGTCAGTTCTGGTTGGTTGATTGTTGTTTAACGCCGCACACAGCAATATTTCATCTATGTGGCGGCGGTTTGTAAATTATCGAGTCTGGACCAGACAATCAAGTGATCAACAACATGACCATCGATCTATGCAATTGGAATCGATGACATGTGTCAACCAAGTCAGTGAGCCTGACCACCCGATCCCGTTAGTCGTCTCTTACGACAATCATGGGTTTCTGAAGATCAATTCTAACCCGGATCTTCAAGGGTGTTGGCCATGGATGATGTTTCTCGGTTACCTATTGGGGAAAATGATAGGTAACGAACCCCGTACAAGTCTGACGTAAGGACATTTAA